TATGCAAGAAAGATCTAACAAGTAGTTACAGCCTAGGGGTTGTGAAAAATAGCGAATTACCTTCTCACCAGTGACTCCTTTTGCTGAGGTGTGACGGCTGGAAGGAAGGCCAGGGTTGAAAAGAAGCACCGAGAGACTAGCACCAGTGTCCAGCAATAGGCTGTTTACTTTTTCCTCTATAGTCATGATTAGCCGGGGCTCCTCCAAGGAGATGGTGGTGTGGCCAGAGGGAGAAGGCAGAGTATGCCCTGGGCCCCTTCATTCCTGCTGGACCAGCTGGTAGGAGGGGTCTGAGCTCCGGGGGCCTTCGCTTCAGAGGGCAGTCCGACCTCCAGTGGCTGGTGACCTGTTTCTAACATGTGGCCTTCGGGAGATATGTGAGGTCCAAACCATAACAGGTGCTATTTCATGTTAGGGTGTTCTCCTTACCTGTGAGATCCTTGGGAACTCCTGTTCTGTTTTGATTATCTGAATTCTAATTTTGACCCGGGCAATGTGAGTTTGACTTTCATTTTATGTCTGCAATCACTACCTACCTGAACAGCTACTGATGTCTCCACTGGCTTGGTGAAGTGATCATTTTCCTCCTATAAATAATCAGCACTATTATTTAGTCTAAAAAAGGCCAGGCATGGTGGTGCATGCCTGTAATCCCGGCACTCACGAGGCTGAGGCAGGAGGATCATTGCAAGTTCAAGGCCAGCCTGGCTACAAAGTGAGCTCAGTGCCAACCAGAACTGCATACTGAAATCCTGTCTCAAAAAGACAGAAAAAAAGAAAAAAGAAAAAAGAAAAGTTCTCTACTTGGAGAGAAGCTAAACTATTTTGTCAAAATTTAAGGTAGATTTTTTTTTCCCCTCTAGCCACGAGTATAAACATATATCAGGGCTTGGGACAGGCACACCTGGGGGGACCAGAGAAATGACCTAAAGGTGCTGGGAGCCAGCTGAGGTCGGGCCTCAGATGCCATAAGGAACCGCACAGCTACAAAATACAAACTGATTTCTGCCCAAGGAAGGCAAAAGGAGTCTGGGTTACAAACTGATGTTTTTCTTCCAGTCTCTGCCTCCACATCAGGGGGTTACCACAGGTAGTTCTACCTTGATTAGGAAGGGCAGTGGGAATGAGCATTTGTCACTGCTATCTTTCAGCATAAACACGGGGTCACTGTTCCATTGCTAGAGCGGGCTTCGGGCTTTGGGTGATGCTGGGAGCCGGAGTCGGGAAGGGTTATTTTTAAATGTGCTAATTTATAGGGAGACTACAACAAGAGCAATTCACAAGGTAAAGCGAAGAAAGAATAAACTATATTTAAACGTGAAAATAGACAAGCCCGGAAAGGGTATGTGAGGTGAATTTTACAGTGTGTTCTTTTCCTTTTAATCTTTAGAAAAGAAATGTGATAGCAGATGACTCTCAGGACACCAAGTCAAGGCTGAGCAAAAGTGATCTCAACTTTGAGGGTCTGGTCAAGCTGGTAAGCCAATTATTACATGATACGAATCTCCCATTTGTTTAGCTCCTAACAATGAGGCTTCAGTCCGCATTTTGGTTAGTTCTGTGATTTCCTTGAAAATTTCCCCTAGAGAGAAGAAAACGCTAAAAACAATTGAGGGAAATCCAGCTGGTTGATTTTTTTTTTCCTCTTGAATAAGAGAAGGGCTTAAAAGAAGCTGAGTTAGAAGGATGGAGGTGTAATATCCAGGGAGAAACACCAGTCCGTGTGTAATTCCATGACTGTCCCATACTAGGACATCATATAAAGGACACATAGATGAAGGCTTACAGTTCCAACTGACCCGACAGCTCACCACCTGACATCCACAGTTCCCTCGCATCAGCACAAGGCTGAGAAACCTTTCCTTGTGGGCAAAAAGGCAGCGCAGGGAGGAGCTTGCTGCAAAGGGGCGGGTGGCTGGTCCTGTCCGACAGAGACTCTCAGGCTCTGCGGGGTACTTTGTATTGATCAACACGCGTGCACACTGTGGCGTGCCATTCTCAGAACCTTCTCAGCAGAGCTGAGAAGCCACATTCTACAGATGAAGAACTAGAGGGAGGCAAATTAGAAGGTTTCCCTGAGGTCTGACAACTGGGAGAGAAAAGAAAAAAAAAAAACTAAAACAAAACTGAGTCAGTCCTGAAGTCCTGAGCTCAGACCCCAGGTTTTTCAGGGCCCGACAGCACCTCTCAGGTGTCACGCCAGAGATTTCAGGGATGGGGTGTCCATCTCTGCCAGCTCCATCACTGGACACCACCAAGGAGTAGGGTGGTATCTCAGCTCACTCAGGACAGTAACACCTGACCACATTTTAAAGACAAATGGTTTGACAATTGAGACTTTAAACCACAACGATGATGGGCTGGGCATGGTGGCACATGCCTGTGCTCCCAGCAGTTGGGAGGCTGAGGCAGGAGGATTACCACAAGTTCAAGGCCAGCCTGGGCTATACAGTGAGTTCAAGACCCAGTGTGAACTACATAGTGAAACCTTATCTCAAAAAAACAAAACAGAAAGTTGGATAAGGCCAATATTTAAAAACATAGATCAGTAAGAGCACATAAAGATATAACATGGGCTCCAAACCATGTGTCAAGTAGGATACAGATGCATGTTCTTTGTTTTATTTTTAATTTTGGGACAGAGTCTCATTATGTAGTTCAGGCTGTCCTTAAAGTCACTTATGTAGCCCAGGCTGGGCTTGAACTTGCAGTGATCTTTCTGCCTCAGCCTCCTGAGTACTGGGATTACAGGTGTGTGCCACCATGCCTGGCCAAAGATGTATGTTTTTAACTCACGAGATATATTTAAACAGACATTATACACAAACTAAGTGCTTGAAGGCTGGAACCTAAACACTCAAGAGCAGTGCATTGATAGTATTTCTAAAAGAGTTTTCCCATTTTTCCTTTATTTTTTATATTGTAATTTTAGTTCATGAAATTACGGTTGACTTAACTGGGGGACGATCACACTTCATACCACACTGCATTTTAAACAAGAAGCTTATTTAAACTATAAACAATAAACTTATATTTGCGTTTAGAGCAATTTATTCTCACTTAGGTTGTCCTACATGTAAGCACCATGTAAAAAAGAGTTATAAAGTCATCCTTGGTTTTACAACGATAAATTAAAAACATTAAAATGCTCCATTAGAACAAGGCATGCAAAGGTCTTTAAGCCGCTGCGTTCTGTTAAAACAACGAGAGCAAAAGGCCTGCTGGGACATAGCGGTGAGAGCGGAGTGAGCGTGCGCACGCGCACGCCGAGGGCGTCTTTCCCTCCGCTGTCCATTGGACGTCAATCAGACCGCACCGGTGGGCATTTCCGGAGAAGCTGCTGCGCGCGCCCCAGTTCCTCCGCGCGTGGTGGAGCGGCGGGGCAGGGCAAGAAGCACGCGGCCGAGGCGGGCGGGATGTGCCGGGCGCCGGCGTGTCCTCAGCGGAGCGCGTGTCCGTGCGCGAGACGGGCGTTCTGGGGCGAGGGCGCATCCTCCCTCGGCACCGCCTGCCCGTCTCACGGGCACACCCGCCGTAGCTTCGGTCCCAGCTGCATCGACGCAGCGGGTGTCCGCGCGTCAGACCCTGTCCCGGCCCACCCGCACACCTGCCCCTCCCCTGGTCTCGCCGCAGCCCCTCCGCGGCACGGGTCTCTTCCAGGGAACCGCTGCGGTCCGCACCTTCCAACCAGGGTGACTGCCGCTCCAGTCGCGGCCTCCTCCGGGAGGCTTCGTGCGCCCCAGGGCTGGAGCCCGGCCGAGGGAGGGCCGGGCCGCCGCTTCCCGCCCGCGGGCTCTCACGGCTGCTCCGCAGGAGGCGAGGCTGCGGGCCGGCTGCGGGGACGCGCGGACGGCGGCGGCCCGGGAGCTGCTGCGCAGCGAGAGGCGCTACGTGCAGACGCTGGCCGCCGTGAGGGACGTTTACGCGACGCCGCTGAGGGCCGCGCTGTCGGCGAACAGAGCGATTCTGAGCGCCGCGAACATCCGGGTCATTTTCTCCGATGTGCTGCGGATTTTACGTCTGAACAGGTGAGCAGACTGCCCGCGCGTTTGCTGGCGGTGCGCGGCGGGTGGCGGGAGCAGCTCGCGTCTCGGAAGCCGCAGGGGTGCTCAGCCGCTCCCTGCCGCTCTCGGGGACCCCAACGTCTCCCGGAGTGCGGCGGCTCCTCGGTGCGCACAGCAGGGATGAGCCCCAGGCCTCCACCCCACCGCGGGCTCCGCGGCGTGGAGAGCGGGGCAGGGGTTTGTCACAGCCACCTTCCCCCCGCACCTCCGGGCTCCGCCGGCCCCATCAGATCTGGATCTGCCTGGCTCTGTCTTAAGAAAAAATGCCTGATCAGAATCAAGGAAGGACTGGGAAGAACTAGGCCGCGAAGGGCGGCGCTGATGACAGCGATTCATGCTGGAATCTGTGGGCTGTCATGGGCTTCTACTGCGTAATATGCTTGTTTTTTTCTGATTGCAGGCAGTTTCTGAATAAGCTGGGAGACAGACTACAGGATTGGGGCCCAGCCCACTGTGTCGGGGAAATATTTATAAAGTTTGGGAGCCAGTTGAATACGTACACCAATTTCTTCAACAACTACCCCGTTGTTCTGAGAACTATCGAGAAGGTAAATGGTCGGAGTTACCATCCGTGACGTTACTAGGCCGGAGCCCGCGCTGCGTGCCGCCCAAAGGACCCGAGCGCTCAGGCAGCGCTGCTTCTCGGCCCTCCGCTCCCCGTCTCCCACCAGCCACGCGAGCTCCTGAGGACAAGGCCGAGCACGTGCTTGGCTCAGAGCAGTGCCCAGGACCTGGGAGTGGAGCAGAATGACTCCTCCCTCACCCACGTTGCCAGGCTCCCGCCTGCCCCAGCTCCCCTGTGGCTCAGGGACAAGAGAATGTCTACACCTGTGTCTTGGTTACTTTTCTCTCGTTGCTGAGACAAAATACCCAATGCCCAAAATGAAGGAAGGAAAGGTTTATTTAGCTCACAGTTTGTGGAGGTTTCAGTCCATACTTGGTTGACTCCCAGACAGAAGATAGCAAAGCAACAAGAGCAAAGAGGGGGGCAATGGCAGCTGAACAGCAAAGCAGCCAGAGCAAAAGGGCAGAATGGCACTAAGCATCCTCTTTCCCTGCCTTACATTGTAAACAGGCTACCCCCACCTAAGGGGCGTGTAGCTCCCACATAATCTCCATGCCCTCCTCTTGCTCAGGTTCAGGATGTATACAAAATAAGCACCCTGGCTTCCTGCTGAGTCACTTAGCCAAACCTCTAGACCCCCCAAGTTGGCACAGTGTATCAACCATAACAACCTGCATAGCAGTGGGACCATGAGCTTTGAGACCAGTCTGCCGCAACCATCTATTTGGCCTTGCTGAGTTCAGCTCTTTGGACAACTTGTCTCACGTGAATATCCTGGAAGGACGTCAAAGAAACATCTGCCTCCAAGCGGAGAGAAGCCAGACACCAAAGAACAGCCGGACACGTCCAGTTTAGCAAGTGGCTGAGGTTTTAGGGCAAATTCCCGGAGAGGACTGACCTGCGTGGACATGACCCGTGCGCTGCAAGATGGAGTCACTTTAGTTTTAGTAGTTCAGGCTGGGCTTACGCACACTGCATAGTCCAGGCTGGCCTTGAAAACCTCTGAGTGCTGAGATTATAGGCATGCGCCACCCTGCCTGGCTGATACCCATTTTAAAGATGAGAAAGCTGAGGCTTAGAGAAGTTGAGTAACTGTACAAAGTAACATATTCAATTTATTCCGGTTCTGAACCAGGCCCGCCTTACTGAACAGTCTGTTACTTACTGTGTTTCTACTAAGTTCAGTGGTAGGGCTCGGTCTATGGTATACTTACTGCATTCTACTTAGTATACCAGGAGACACCAGTAGTTCTCTTGGTAATTTGGTTAGATGGAGATGTTGCCCTTTGGAGCATTCCATAGACCCTCACTTGCTTAGGGGAGGCAGGGGGCTCTAAAACTGTCGCACAGAGCCGAGCTTTGACAGTGCCATCCTCACCTTTCAGTGCAGAGAAACCACACCAGCATTCCGAGCTTTCTTGCAGAGGCGCGATAAGACCATAGCCACCAACATGCTGAGGTGAGTTCTGAGGGAGAGCACAGCTGGGCTCTAAGCACAGGGCGCCCTCCTCGACCTTCAGCTAGAGCCCGGGGCTCCCCTCTCTGTGCCTGTACAGCCTGCCGGAGCTGCTGCTGTGCCCATCCCGGAGATTTGACGAGTACCTGAGTCTTCTCTACGCTCTGAGGCTGCACACTCCTGCAGAACATGTTGGCCGTGGGGAGCTGACCGCTGCAACTGACCAGATCAAAAAATATAAAGATTATCTCGATCAGGTTGGTTGCTGATAAGTGTCTGTGTCCTTTAAACCTGTTACAATGCTTCCGTGGTGCTCTTCCCTGGAAGATCCTGAGCGATCTTGTCTGTAGTGACACCCTTACTCCAGTCTTCCGTTCTTTTACCGCTGAGTGTTCCGTGACTTTGTACATGAGGGCCTCTGTTCTAGATCGAACAGTGTGGGGCAGAATGTTCTCAGATAGCTGCTCAATTACGATAAACCTTTTATGAACATAAGTTTGAAATTTGGATTGATTTTTCTAGATAGCAGAAAGAAAACAACACAGACGTACACTTCTTTGCTTCTGAAAGGACTAAGGTATCAGTTTCTTGCCACCATAAGTAGAGTAATAATAATTATTCTCCAAAAGACTTCAGCATGTGGGAGTACTGTAGTCTCACTCTGGAAATACCACGATTGTACTGTGTGTATGTTCGCTTGGGCTGAATGTGTGTGCCCTGAAGTGCTCTTTTGAGTAATCTTGTTACTTGCCTTTCTTTTAAAACCATGCGTACAGAAAAGCGAGGTTTTTATTACGGTAAAGTAGCAAACTCTGATCCATTAAATATCTTAATTTCTTTTATAAACACAACTATCGCAATTTTCATTTGCCTAAAGTCGGTTTCTTTTCTAGATAAAGGAAAACATCAAGATGAAGGAGCAGCTGTCAGAGGTTCAGAGCCTCGTCTGGGGATGCCCTGTATGTATTCTGCTGCGCTTGCTGCGTCTCCTGCTGGTGAACAGAACCTTGTCACTGGCAAACGAAGACATGCAGCTCCCAGCACAGCCAGCATATGTGCGATTTTGCCACTGCCGGGAGCTGGAATCTCTCACATTCCTCACAGGCTGCAGAAGGGGCGCATGTAACGTGACCCTGCCGCTTCTGTGTGGTCTGAGCTCCTTGCTCGGTGGTACTGTCACGACAAGGCCCTTTGAGGGGAGGGGCACGTGTTCCATCACGGTGCCTGATGCAAGATTCTGTCCACTGTCCGCTGCCGTCTGTTACCCCTGAACCTCACCTGGTGCTCCTCCAGCTTTCCCTACCCCCGTCACACTGCACAGACCTACTCTGCATTCCCTGACAACGCAGCCTCTGTTCATACCCTTCCTTCTCTCCCGTTGCCTGCCTGTCCCACTCCACCGGGCAGTCAGCCTATAAAGTTAAAGTCAGTCATTTTGTGATGCTTCTTCCCGCTGTGGGCTGCTCACTGCCTGGCGTTTCACAGCCTCCTGCGCCTCCTTCCCTTGTTTCTGTAGCTCTCCATCCGGTGAGAGCTATGACTCGCCTTCTCGTGTCTGGCACTTAGTAGGAGCTCAGTCTGTAGAGGAAGGGGAGTTGGAGTATCGGTTGATTGGAGATGTTATTTTTATTTGGTCAGATTGGGGCAGTGAGACAGAGTCGTTTTAATTTCAATCTGTATATTTTGGTAGGGAAAAAGAAGTGGAGCTGACTGTAATACAAAAGTCGAAATTCTTGGGACTCGCAGTCCACAGCGTTTCATGGCCGGGTCAGCGTACGTGCCAAGAGAGCATCGCACCACAGCCTGAACCTGTGGCTGTTCGTTTGCCTCCTTTTCTTCACAGCTCTGTTTTTGTCCCACAGTGTTTTTGGCACTGGGGAAATACGTTCAAACAGAACAGTTTCAGTAGTTTAAAAAGAGTTGACAACGTTCTAAAATGTCGATTGTCATTGCTGATGCCGTGGTCTTTCTATAGAAAGCCTGTTTTTACAAACAACAAAAACACTGATTATTTCATAACTCAGACCCAGTCAACACGTATTCTGGGATATAAAATAGTCCTGCAGTAGTAGCATTCATGCAAGCATTTTTATATGTTTTTAATTTTTTGATTTTATAGACTCTATCAGAAGTAAACAGATATCTGATCAGAGTCCAAGATGTGGTCCAACTTCACTGTCCTAATGAGGAAATAAGTTTCTCTCTAAGGTGAGTTAGTAGTATCTTAGTTGCAAACTCCTCCAGAGCTCCTCACTGTCTTACTCATTTTGTATCCATGGCATTCAGCCCTGTAGCAGTTTATTATGAATCTTTACTCTGAACTAAAAAGTCACACAGCTCTTTGTGACAGTGTAAGGTCCTATATCATTATGATTGCAATCCCGGCAGCTTTTGGGTAAAATGGGAGAAAAGAAATCATCTCTATCAAGACCATACTCCGTAACAGCAGAATCTGTCAAGGCCAGCCACTTCCCCCCTGAGATAAGATCCAAGCGTTGTGGGATTGAGTGATCTACTTAACTGCAAGGAGAGGGTCCATTTATTATCCTTAGATAGTTGTTGACCTCAGTAGTAACAATGACCTCACCATATATAGTTCGCACAGTGCTCAGAATAGTGTAAGAAGGAAAGACAGAAGCCGGCACCTGTAAGTTAGTGACCCCTTCCTCCTTGAGAACAAAGACTGACAAATTTTTCTGCAGAGGTTTAGAGAGTAAATATTGAGGATTTTCTGGCCAAAAGATCTCTGTGGCAACAACCTACCTTTGTTGTTGTATCACAAACAGGGCTAATAAATGATACAAAACAAACAAATAATACACTATTCATAAACATTATGATGCATAAATGAACAAGTGCAGTTATGTTCCAATAAAACTTTATTTACAACAGCAGGTGGTAGGCCATAGCTTGCTGATTTCCGCTTTAGTAAACTGCTGAAGTATGTTTTCATTATTAATGGCAAAGATAATGGCAACATAAAGCAGCCAAAGGGAGGGAAATTGACTCCTTTAATTTGTCCAACTGCAGTTAAGGTATGTAAATGAAAACCAAATCACAACATCACTTATCTCACTGTCATAGCTTTTTTTTCTTTTGTTGTGCTGCTTTTGGTTAGTAGCAACGGAAAAGAGAACAATGGTGGAAAGAAACTAGCTTCCTAGTTGCTTAGAAACAAGCAATTTTATTTATTTATTTATTTTTTATTTTAAGGATAAAAGGAGGGAAACATTAAGACATACAACATTTTACAACATATCACAAGCACAATACAGACAATACAGAGTTACAAAGTGGTAGGGAATTAACAATGGTGGTTGTATTACATATTGATATCTTCAAAGTGGCTTCTCATGAAAACAGATATAGACATGCAATACTGGTCAACCAAAGACTCATTGACAGAGAAACAAGCAATTTTAAACACACTGGCATGGTGGGAGCTATGCTAGGAATTACTCCAGTTTCTGAACATATTTCCACCTTCCTGTATCCTTCTACAAAGTCTCCCTTTCTTCATGCAAATCTGAGTTCCTATGCCGTTTTCCTTCTATCTGCAGCACTTTTAGCACTTCTTGTACGGCAGGTCTACTAGCAACAAGCTCCCTTACTTTTGACTTATTTGAAAACTTATTTCTCCTTCACATCTGAAGGAAAAGTTTGGTGGCTACAGAATTCCAGGCTCTTTTTTTTTTTTTTTTTTAAATGCTTTCAATACTTTATTTCGCTCCACTTTGTTCTTGCTCCAATGTAACTGTTACCACTAGGCCATGTTTATTGTAGCTTCAGGTAACAGGCTGTGTATTTCCATGGTGTCCTTGTTCTTTTCTCCCCTGTCAGCTTTGGGTTCCCTTAAAGACTCCTTATTAGATGGGGTTTGAGCCTTGCTATTGTACAGAAGTCTTGTTAATGTGGTAGTAAGATGTGTGTGTTGGAGGAAGCATCTGTAGTTCTGCGATCAGTACTTTGTCCCTTTTTTTTGGGGGGTGGTACTTAGGATTGAACCTAGAAATGCTCTATCACTAAACTACATCTTCAGCCCTTTTAAATTAAAAAAATTATTAGTACATGCTTGTCATACACAATTGCATTCATTGGAGGTAATTGGTACACATACATAGCACATCTCAATTCTTTTTTCCTTTCCCTCCACCTTCCTTTTATTTTGCCAGCATCAGATTCATGTATTTAAATCATTATAAAGTTAATGATCATATATACAGATTAACAACAAGACTAATAGGCCAAAAAACATGAAACACGTAAGACAGTTGCACTCAATCAAGGTGCACTTTTAGATACGCTGTCCGTGCTAGATAATAACTTTTTCCTCTCTTTTTTCCTATTAGAGTGGTGTCACTGTTCATGAAGGCTTTTGTCTGCAAAACAGTTTGGTTCACAAACAGAAGCATTTGGCAAAATTTTGTTTTTGTTTGCAAACTCTGCACGGGGTGACAAGCATGAACACGGCCATCTTTTCCACATGAACACAAATGTGCTAACTTCTCCAGAGCTGTGGAACAAATTCAGTTCATGACCCAAGGCACTGCTGTATCTGTCTTTTATTTCACTTTTTTTAAAAAAATTTTTTTTTTTTTTTTTTGTCTTTTTGCAACAAGGTCTCGCTATGCAGTTCAGGCTGAACTTGCACTCACTTTGTAGCCCAGGCTGGCCTCAAACTCACAACGATCCTCCTGCCTCAGCCTCTGAGTGCTGGGATTACAGGTGTGCGCCACCAAGCCTGGCTATTTCACTTTATTTATATATTGAGTCTTTCATATAAGAGAAACTGTGTGATGTTTAAGCCTGTGTGTCTGATTTATTTCACTTAACATTATGGTCTCAAGGTGCATCCATTTTCCTACAAATGACTCCAGTTTATCTTGTTTACAGCAGAGTAGTACTCTGTTGTGTATGAATACATTATTTTCTTTGACCATCTATCTGTTGATGAACGTATAGGATGTTTTCAAGATTTAGCTGAGTTGTGCTTCTATAAATATGGTTATGCATACATCACTGTGGTATGATAGCCTTAACTCTTTTAGGAGGATACCTAGAAGGGGAATAGCTGGGTCAAATGGAATTTTTATTTTTAGTTTCTTGAGGAATCTCCATTGTACTGATTTCCATGGTGGTTCTACCAGTTTACACTCCCATCAAAAATGAAGAAGGGTTCTTTTTCCCCACAGTCTCCCCAGCATTTGTTATTGGTTGATAGCATTCTGTCTGAAATGAGATGGAGTCTCATTGTTTTAATTTGCATATCTCAAGTGGCCAGTGGTGTTGAACATTCTTTTTGTTTTTTGGTATGTGCAGCCCTGGCTGGCCTTGAACTCACAGTGATCCTCCTGCCTCAGCCTTTCAAGTTCGGGGATTACATGTGTGCGTCACACCCAGCTTGAACATTTTTTCATGTATTTCTTGTTTTTATTTCCTCATCTGAGAAGAGTTTATTCTTTTTGTTTAGATGCTCATCGTGCCAGGTCAGCTAGTTCTTTTTGATTTATTGGCATTGTTGACTTCATTGTCTCTTTCTAGGCTATCCTAAGATTTTTCTGTAATGCTGGTTTTATGGTCACGAACTTCTTTTTTTTCTTTTTTTTTTTTTTTTTTTGGTTTTTCTCTGGTACCGGGAACCGAACTCACTACCTTGCACTTGCCAGGCAGGCGCTTTGCCGCTGAGCTAAATCCCCAGCCCCGGTCACGAACTTCTTGAGATACATGGAAATAATGTTTTTCTCTGTTGCTTTTATTTATTTATTTAATTAATTTATTTATGAGACAGAGCCTCACTGTGTAGTCCAGGCTGACCTCAAACTTGCAGCAGTCCTCTTGCCTCAGCCTCCTAAATGCTGGGATTATAGGCGTGCACCATCATGCTCAGCTTCTCTATTGATTTTAAAGGCAAGTTTTGCAGGATACATATGTTAGGGTTGGAAGTTTTTGTCTTTTAGGGCTTGAAATACTACACTCCAAGTCCTCCTGGCCTTTAAGGTTTGTGTAGATAAGTCTCCTGTAATTCTAATGGGTTTACCTTTATATGTGGTTCATTACCTTTCTCTAACAGCTTTGAAGATTTTGTCCCTGTGATGGACTTCTACACTCTGAGTATATAATGTGGCACAAGAGGTTCTCTTTTGGTCAGAGCTACTTGGAGTTTGATATGCTTCACTTATATGTATGCTTATTTCTTTTCCTATATTTGGGGAGTTTTCTGCCATTATTTATGTGAACAGTTTTTTTATGCCACTTGGGTTTTCTGATTTTCCACTTAGTCCAATTATTCTTAATCTTCTTTGCATCATCTACAAGTTGTTGGGTCTATTTTTCATGTTCTCTTGTTGTTTTTAAGGTATCTCTGAGTACAGACATCCCTTGTGATCAGGCTGTTAAATTTTTTTGGTTACTAAGTGAGGAATTGTACATAGTATGTACATTACAATATTCAGAACAAAGAAATGGCCAAAGGAAACTCCAATTTGATGACTTTGCTTTTATTTGCATAGCCCTTACATGCAGTACTGTAATGTATAACAGAACATAAAACTACAGTACCATATAAATGAGGTGTACTGTGGAAAAAAGACATTGAGCCTCCATAAACAAGATGTAAGAACTGTAACAACAACAAAAAAGATTGGCCGAAGTCCAACCAGCTGGCCCTACATCCAAGCAGTGCACCTTGGGCATAATTCTGAACAGTCATTAAACAGGTAGGTCATGAAATGATCAATATCTGTAGTTGGCCTTTGAAAGCATCACTGTGTCTACTTCTGAACCTCTGGCCTCACACTGGTTGGTTCTGCTGCCCATACTTTGAATATAATTTTTAACATGGATTTCTGATGGAAACTTCATGGAGTCTACTTCTTTGGTAAACCGGCCATTCATGTTTTGTATCATTTTGTTTAGCTCATCTACCTTTGTATTAGTCTCTTCTGAAAGCTCCTCCATCTTTTTTGTTATTACTTCCATTTCGTTTTCTCTAAACCCTCTTAGTACCTCTTAAGCTGTTTATAATCTCAGCTATCCTTTCAAGTAACTTGGGTGTGTGGCTAATGTTATTCTGCCTGTTGGTGCTCTCTGGATTGGCTTCAGGGGAGTTAGGGAGTTTTGGGAGGTGTTTTGTTGACTTTTCCCTACTGTTTTTGTTTATTTGGTTGGTTTTATGCTCAGGTTTGTGGATGCTTATAGTCTAAAGACTTTGGTGATGTAATTTGGGTGAGGCTAAGTGTAATATTTTACCACAGCCCCAAGATCCAACCACCTTGGTTAATTTGGGAGTGGAAGATGCAGTAGTTCAGGCAGCAACCAATTTCTCTGGGAATGTACTGTAGAACTGTTAATGTTACAGAGGCAATCTGAGGGTTGTCTTACAGAGAAATAGTGGCAATTATGCAACCCTGTTAATATGAAGTCAATCAGCTATAGAAGTACTGTCCAAGACAAATTAGATATTAATATACCAAAAGAATAAATTATGTACTACCCTTAATTCTAGAGAAGAGGGCAGGGATATAGCTCAGTGGTATAAGTGCCTGCCTGGCAAGTGCTAGGTCCTGAGCTCGATTCCCAGTCCCCAAAAAAAATTCTAGAGAAGAAATCAATTATGATGTAAACATTAAGGCAACCAGGTATTGACTTACAGCTAATATGTATTAAATGGAACAGCTATATCTCTGCGTATGGTAGAACAGAATTTAACAGTAACTTTATAGAGTTAACTTAAAAAGGTCAACAAAGCTTTATAGTTGTATTAGTAAAGATACAGGGTTTGGGAATGAGGAAATGCAAGAGGAAAACTGAAACCTTAAACTATGATGAAAAAGAGGAGATGTGGTATGAAGGATCTTATTGCAGAGTAGAAAGATGTTTATAGAATTAGGTAAAGGTAAGAGAAAAAACTGGCAAGAAATAGAAGATAAAAAAGAGGGAGAAAAAAATTATATACAGAGCAAGCAGGAAAAGAAGAAAAAAGGAAGAAAAACAGGTAAGAAGCAAGGTAGAAAGATAAAGATTTCCTAAGCCCCAGGAAATTGGTGAAGAAAGGAGGGAAGGAAAGAAAAGGAGAAAAAACAAAACAAACACAAAAGACTGAAAACATAACAAACAAAACAACTGACCAAACAAAAAAACCAACAGACCAAAAAAAAGAAAGAGAAAAAGACATTTCTCTGTGATTTCAAATGTGTGTTTTTTTTCTGGAGTCTATAGTGTGCAATTGAAGATGTGGCCCTGTTTTCACTGGTAGATACCACAGTGAGAGCCCAGATCCTTGATGGATGCAGTCACCAGCAAGTGGTCAGCATTAGGGTGGGGGTGCCAGTTCTGTGACTTCAAATCCACTGAGATGCAGGCTGAGCCTAAAACCCTCTGCGGGTCTTTGCGGCCTGACTGCAGATGTCTCCCATGGTTGTCTCTGTCTGTCTCCCAGTCACTGTGGGAATGTACCACGAGGAGTCCTGAAAGGAAGCCAACCTGTGGCTGCTCTGAATCCTGCACCACTGGTCTGTTCCACTGTTGTTCCTCCCTGAAGGCCTTTGGAGTCCCTCACTTTCAGCATCTTCTCTGGATTTGGGATTTCTTATGAGCCATGAGCCAGGAGTTGAGGAAAAGGGCAGACTGTCCCCTTTTCTGGGTTGTTGTTTCTTTAATGTCTCCATAGGCTCCAATTTTCCTGTCAGATCTTTCCTGGGCCCTAGAGATCTGCCTTGATTCTTCTTTCCTTCCCCAAGTTATTTTCCAGTGTCTGCATCCTGAATCTTGGGAGAGGCTGATTTGTTGTTGCTTATCATTCTGCTATTTTTTTCTTTTGAGAAGAGTTCTCACCAAGTTTCCCAGACTGGTTGGCCTCAATCTCAAGATCCTCCTTCTTCAGCCTCCAGGGCAGCTAGGATTACAAGATGGGCACCAGGCCCTACAGTTTAAATGAGCCTGTTGCGCCTGGGCTATCACCTTCTTAAGGCTTCTGAACTTCTTTTCACCTCTAAGAGGCTACAGGGGGCTGGAGTTAACTATTTCCTCTCTCCCAGATTGGTTAGGTTCTGCCTAAGAATTCCCTTTCAGAGCAGGCCTTTGTTAAGAACAAAAATCTCTGTGTTTCTTTCAAGATGCCCCCACCCCCAGAAGAATGAGGGGATTTCTCTTAGCTCTTCCTAGTGAGGATCTGGTAAGCTCCTGGAGGTAAAACAGCATTGTTGGAGCACCCAAGGCTTCAATCATGCATGTCCACCCACAATCAACCTCCAGCTATAGTGAATTACCCTGTAAGGATTCCTACTTGATCCAGGCTCCGGTGGGCAGTCTCAGCTCTGATAAACTGATTCTCTGTGTCTGCCTGTCTGTCCTGCTTTTGGGGTAGTGGCTTACTCTGTGACCTCAATTCTTCATTCAGTTTCTTTGTTATGAGGCTAGAAGTGATAACTTCCAAGCTCTTCATATGTCAATTGATAGCTGAAGTCTGCTATTAGAATTTAAGTCTTCAGTATTTGGACAACAGATGAGTGAATGAAGATACATTATATCACACTGTGAAGTACATTTACATGTAACTAGGCATTTTCTCAGTAGTTAGATTTATATTATTTACTAATAAATACAGATGTCATTTGAAGTAAATGCAAAAAGGCTTGCACTCCAAAGGATATCACTCAATATTTAGCCTGCAACCTTGTTTCCTAACACTGTAGAAAGTCACGTAAAACCTAAGAAATGCCACTGCATGCTTTGCATCAGGAGTTTTGATATGCACAAATGTACTCATGCTTTTAGTACTGACAGGAGTATAGGACTGTAGAATTTACTATTTAACTTTTTTCATTTGATAAATTCCATTACCACATGATCAGACAGGACAAGACACCTTTGTGGGTGGGGAATCTGACAGAAGCAACCTGTCCGAAAGCCAGGGACTAATAAGTGCTGGTCTGGAATTCCCAGCCAGGTCTCAGTGAGCGGACAGCAGTGTTCCCACGGATCAGACCGACGGGTGGAGAGATGAACTGAGCTTCCTTATAAGCAACTCTTGAACGCAGAAGAAATTATTAAACCAATAATGTACAGCTCTCACCACATAGCTATGGCTTGCTGTTGTCTGTTCATGCCCGAGGTTGTGTCCTGAAAACTTCTTTAGTTTTATGTATGAAGTTAGGTACTTCATTTCATGCCTGTCCATAGGCTGGCTAATGTAGCAAACAAGAACCAAGCACTTCTAGGGTGGAGTTAAGAGTTTATATAGCTGTGTTCCATTTTGCTGTCATTACTTGTAAAGTGGTAAAGAAAGTCTATAAAAATTCAACAGAAAAAACATTGGACTTTTCTCTATCCCATCATTCCTAGAGATGAATCAAGCGTACTTTCCTCAGGCCACTCAAAAACATCTAGCACAATACTTTTTTCTAGATAAAAGTTTACACAGCCATGATTCACTTCATGAAGAGAAGGATCAGTGGTCCTTTTGCCCACACTGATAATGAGGTATGTGTCCACCAGGGATTAATCACACCAGGACGGAAATTTTCACTCAAACGGCTTGTAGTGGAACCAGCACGTCCCACAGACTGCCTTACCAATTTAGAGATGATTAACATTTTAATAAAGTGCGAATGTATGAATGCTGCTCTCCTCCACATAACACAGGTTCTATGAACAAATCCGAGACCTCACGCTTTTCCTCTTCAACGACGCACTGCTTATTTCTCATCGGCACGTGTCTCATGCTCCATTTGAAAGGACTTCAAAAGCCACCTACCAGTTTACGGCATCAGTGGCCCTTCACAGGCTCCTCATAGAAGATATCCCGGATTCCAAGTGTAGGTATTGTTTTCCTTCAAGAGATATCTTTATGAAGCTATTCCATATAAAGCTCTTTTTTAGGGGCTGGGGATTTAGCTCAGCGGCAAAAGCGCCTGCCTGGCAAGCGCAAGGTCGTGAGTTCGGTTCCCGGTACCGGAGAAAAACCATATAAAGCTCTTTTTTTTTTTTTTAAAAGCTCATTATTCAAGTAGAAAAAGTAGCAAAAGGACTGGAGTTATAATTTGACAGTGTATAAGTAATCCATCAAACATTAGGATTTCGTTGAACTGTCAGCTACTGGGCCAGGGATATAGCTCAGTGGCACAGGTGCCTTCCTGGCAGGCGCAGGGTGCTGAGTTTGATTCCCGGTACCAAAAAAAACAAAACAAAAAACCCTGTCAGCTACCTCTGAGATAGCAAAAGGAAGGCTGGCACTATCAGACAACCCTAGAGATTAGAACAGCTTTTGAAATCTCCGAGGGGGCAGACCCTGCACCATCACAAGTGGTTCTTTGAGGCAGCCTGGCCTGAAGGCTTAAGTTCTGTCCACTGTCGAAAGATCTCACAGGCTTAAAGCACTATCTTAATTTTACATTTATACATATTAATACCCATTAATTTAATATTTATTAAATTTATGTTCTACTAGGACTAAGTGGTCATTAAGATTTAACCATTTTTCTTCCTTAAACACATTTAAACTGGGAGTTTTCTATAAAGGAATCAACAGATTTGCAAAGGATTCTTAGTAAATATTTCATTTATAATTCCAACAGAAATACCATTTATCACAAAACAAATCCTACTTAAACCTATTGTGACTTTAGTCATCATTCTACTCTCTACTTCCCAAGCTTCAAAGGATCCGTGTCTGTTTCTTGTATTTGTTAGGCCAATCAGAAGGTGGCGTCTCTCATTTCAGTATTTTTCACTGCGTGTAAAAATAGGACTTCAGGCTAAAGCAGGAACCAAGACCTTACAGAAGGAACTCATCTAAATAAAGTCAGCTTCCCAATACCTTCAGGCCCGTCTAAATCTGAGCCTGAGCAAAAAACACCAAGGGTGGGAAGATGTACTTGCTGAGACTGTGTCACCAGCAGGAAGGTGATCCGGGGCAGTTACACAGCACTACGGAATCTGGTTAACGTACGAAACGTGCTTCTTCAGCCCTCTGCCCGCCCGCCCGAATGACCACAGCTCTTAGGACACTGTCATATGACCTGGTGGTAGGAGCTGGCTGTCACCGGCCCTCATTCCAAGGCTGTGTAGGTCTAGCTCTTGGCATCTCTGAACTACAATACAGTGATACCTTTGTTCTGAACATAATTCATTCCAAATTTGTAACTGAACATAGTTTTCCTGTAATAATGGAAAACCACAGAATTCATTCTGAGGCCCAAAAATTATAAAATCACTTTTGCAGGACTTTTAACAAATTCCACAATGATTAACTCTATCAGAGTTCTCAGTTTTCCTCTTAGCTTTATGGCTAGTCATTACATTCTTTGGAGCCATGGTTATTTTAGGCAAATAAAGCCCCCCCCATGACGAATGTTGTAACACGCTAACGTGAGCACTACCTGTTGTTCAGGTGAGAGCAGCACCTACACTGCAGCGCCATCCCTTTGTGTGTGTCGTGAGACGTGACATGTGAGTCACTCTCAGCATGCATAGGTTTGTTTTCAGGTCGGATTTTCAGTTCAATTATGGAGCCAAGTTAGGTCTACCAAGCAGGTTTTTTTTGAAGTTTTGCTGTTCAGGACGTGGGAAGTTTGTGCTTGGACTTGTCCGTAAAGACAGCTATCACTGTAACTATTAGTAAAGCTCTTTATCGATTCTAGTTTCTTCTGGAATGATTGAGACAAACAATTAAGGCACATCACATTGTCTACCATTTGGTCTTTAATTAGTGTACCTAAAATACTTTCACAGATGTCAAGAATGCATTTATTCTTCAAGGTCCAAAACATGAATGGATTTGTGCTACTGAGGTGGAGGATGATAAATTCCTCTGGTTGTCAGTACTCCAAAGGGCAATCAGAAGCAGCATGGAGAAGTGAGGCTGGACTGCAGGAAAACATCAGGAATGCCAATTCTCTCTGACAAGAGTGGACAATGTGTATGTTGCTCTAGAACATCCAGTGAGAAGCAGAAAGATTATTTGTCATGGATGACGACGGCATGAACTAGGATGGTCCATAAGGTTTAAACTTTACCATCTTGATGAAATTACGCAGAATGTGTAAGAACAATGGGTCTAAAATTTTGAACCACTTTTTTGGTAGTTATCTTTCATGGATAACACTATTTAAAATAATTTGATGTGATAAATTCTAGGAGAACAAGTATACTGTGTGAAGCTTGCAAAAAATGATCTCATGAGAAATAAAGCCAGAATAAAAAATGTTATTAAATGACCATTCTAAAAAAAAAAAAAAAAAATTTGATTTATCAATCAACTTTAAAATTTTCATGAAACAATTACTGATTTAAAAATACACAGGTCATTATAAATGGCAACTTTCTCAAACACTTGTCAAGTATTCTTAATATGAATGTACTTCTCTAGAGAGCATTAAAATTATACTATTACAAAGAATTAAAATGTTTTTTATAATTTTTTTTGCTGCAAAACTGAACTGTCAGACCTTACAAATAAGAAGCTTTAAAGTACTTTTGATATTGTTAATTAGAAGGCCAGTGGGAAGAAGAAATTTTTAAAATACAAAAAGAAACTTTACTTGGCCTTCAACACGTTCCTGCCCCTTGAACCAGCAGTGGTAGATTCATGACTGTCCCATGCCGCCTGACAGGACAGCCGTGCATGCAGAGCCACCTCGCAGCAAGACACACAAATTGTAGCCCCGTCATGCACATGTTAAAGCCCCTGGTATTTAACAAACTGAAACTGTAACCTGTTAGCCACTTGGAAACGAGCTTATGTATGCAGTAGTACTATTTTTATTTAGTTAGTGCTATAAAAAAGATAACACATATTAGTCTTGGAAGCTTCAGGCTGTTCATTTCATTTTGCTTTGTAATCTCTTAAAGTCTTAAAATATATTGGGTACAATATAGGATTGTGAAACTGGGCTGCTACTTCAATATCATCTTTCGCCAATGAAACTATGACTTCCTTCTGATTCTCTAAAGTCTTGTTATAAATATACAAAACTTAAAGATATTGTACTGCTTTATTAGTACATTTCTGATTCTATTAAGATATATCCATGCAATTTAACACCTGATTCCCCAGAACAAACTTTAAAGGGAGTTATGCGCTGTTACTCAGCAATGAATGCCAATTTCACAAATCTGATTGAAACATGTAATATATAAAACAAATCCTAAAGCAGTGTTTTACCTGAATAGGGCACACTCCAAAACCTCTGTTAATAGGAAAAACCTGCTTATACAGCAAGAGATCGCTTACAGTGAACCAGAACTCTTTAGGGAACTTCCATTTCCTCTAGGAATAACTGGTGTTCTGGGAAGATTAAAAACAAAAAAACTTGAGAATAATCTCTGTATAACTTCTAACGCATCGATCACACAAAAGCTGCAATGCTTCCTGGTGGTCAGTGTGTCTGTAGTAGTTTTACACTTTCCCTTCACCTTGAGGGAACACTTAGGAAAGACCTGTCTTCATAGCTACCTGACTGCTGCTGAATTAAAATCCCTCCCTCCCTCCCTCTCACACACACACACACACACACGCCCAGTCACGAATGAAACTGACAGGGAAAATGTAAAGCTGATCCTCAATACGAGAGGAGAGAGTGTAAGAGAAGCTTGAAGTATCATGTGACTCCCGAAGATGCTGATCACTGCAGCAAGGAAGACGCGTCTAGTATATTAGCTTCTGGTGAAAACTGTCTTATCCCATAGTTCTCTAAAACACAAAGTTAAATAGCAAACTCACTTTAAAGCTTTTTATAGAATATATATTTTTGTATAGAATATTAAACCTAAAGAGGACAAACGGACAGATTATTTAATTTTCCTTTCAAAGATTTCTGGGCTTGTGCTTCAGATATAAATGAGAAGTTCACTCTAAATCAAACCAGAGTGTGGTTTTTGCTGTGTAAGTTCAATAGCCCAGATTACACACTCCTAGTACTGTGTGCAGCACGCCAACAAACACCATATGCTCTCCAGAAAAAGTCATACTGACCCTTTTATTGTTGAAATTAAAAAATAAAAGATACTTAAATACAATGGTGAACATAGAGGGCAAAACAGAATCATAAAATTTAATGTTGACTTAAGCAGTAAGCTGAATGTCTGGGTCTCCAAATTGGCTTCAAACCCCAAACTGCTTAAAAATGGGTATGTTCACAGTTAACGGCAATTGGCTTATAGGTGAGAGAATGGTCGAAGTTGTTCCAGTTGAACTTCCAGGGAAATTCTCTCTTCAAGAACATCCTGAAAAAGATGCAAAGTCCAGGTTATGTTTCTAAGTATATAAAAATGAAGGTACTTCTAATAACAGCTCTACTTCAGAAAGCAATTTATATTTGTCAAGAAGACTAAAGAACCTGTGCTACTCATATTTGAAAAGTACACTTCACTTTAGAAGGCACTTTCCTTATGCATGCATCATGTGTAAGAAATGAAAACATGACTACAGTAACTTAAACCTTTCCTGTATTACATAAATTAGGTAATAGAATGTTTTTAGGCTAATTATTAGAAAAGCCAGTATGTGCAACAACAGATGGGCACTAATATATGAATTTTATGTTTTGCCCCTGAATTATATAGATAAATCAGCTAACACAGGATTTTCCCCCCAAATGATATGTGGTTATAGCAACTCCTGAGCCTCATTTTGAGTTTCATTTCTATAAACAAAAAATTTATTTTGCAGTCATAATTGTGGGCGTGTGGTCTTGAGGATTGAACCCAGACTTGTGCATGCTAGGCAAGTGGCCTACAACTGAGCTCGAGCACTGTTTACTTCAGACAGGGTCTCCCCGAGTTTCGCAGGCGAGCCTTGAGCTTGGGATCCTCATGCCTCAACCTCGAAAACAACTAGAAATACAGGTGTGCACCACCACACCTGGCTGCAATCACAATTTTTTAATCACTGATGATTTTGAGGAATCTTTTCAAATAGCCACAATGTGCTTACTTTTCTTTTTGTTCCCTTTTTCATATTGATAGTATCTCATTTTAATCAGAATGAGCTCTTCTTATTTGGTACTTTTATTCCTATTTCTGTTCTCAGAGGTAATAACAAAAGTGATTTTTAAAATAGTTTTTATGTATTTATTTCTATGGTATCCTTATTTCTTAAAAAAAAAAAGCACTAACAAAACTGTCATCTGTCATCTTAAAGGCACAATACTAGGCAAGCTTGTATTTAAATTTCGTATTCTTTCTTTACAGTGGGTCAAATTTATAATCATCTGACAGCAACAAGTGTCTTCTATTGTAGTCAGAATTCTACAAGAATGTCTTTCACTTAAGAGACATTTATCAAGTGCTTAATATATGCTAGGTTTTGGAGACAGTGACAACATAACCATAACTTATCTAAGACAGTCGCAGTTTACATTTTCTTGGCCTAAATATTAAAACAACCTTCTTCTTTTTACTGAAAAGAACTTTGGTTTGGCAATTTATTATACGGCTATCCTAAAGAGAAATTATTACAATTTACCCTCGAAGAGTTCACTTTAGTGGGACACAGCAATGTGTAACAGATAATAATCCCAGGACACTGTGATAAATCACAGATGAGGGATATGAATATGATGTCACAGGAATAAATGCATTCATTTTACATTCTTATGGCCTCTTCTCTCATCTTTGTGGTTTACAACCTTGTTATACGAAGTGAGGCCAACAGCAGTACAGCAGCATCTATACCATCGCAGAGCTTACTGGAAATGCAGAAATCTCAGGTCCCACCCCAGACCTGCTAAAGTAGAACCTGTATTTTAATATGACCCCAGATTACCTATATATAAAGTTTGACAACCAATGGTTTCTAAGATACAGGTGCAAATAACATGAATGAAATAACAAAAGTGATTCTGGGTACTAATTTTTATTCATAATGACTTAAATAAATCATGGTTAACAGTGGGGAAACAAACTCCTTCCTCCCAATTATCAGACGATGGAATATACTGTATGGAAATAATATTGTTATGTAAGGCTTATCTTTTCTTTTTCCTCATGATCTAAATTATCCACAGCTCTTGTCTTCTTTAGACCCATGTAATTTCCTTTATAGAATCTGGATTGTCTTTGATAAAAGGATAAACTGACAACAGTTAAATCATCTACGAATTACAGAGCGTGAAGAGCCATATATTTATTTAATCTTAGAGCTATCCAAGGTCACACCGTTGAAGTTTCTTTATGAAAGTCAAGAAACATCGTAGGAATAGTGATGTCTTTTTATATATGTAAGATAAGGGAGTGTATCAGAACTCAGTTTAAAAAATTCCTTTTAGAACTAAAAAAACCCCAATGGCTCAGCCAGTCATTTTAGAAACACATTTCTCTTGCTATGAGGAAAGTTTTTACGTAAGTGCAAGAACTGCTGCATCACCTTCAACTTTCCCCACAACTCCCAGAGCCTCTCGAACCCCTCTCCAGACTCAAAAGCATTACCTTTAATTGCTGCTGCAATTCACTATTCAATCGGGCCAAAACTGTGTTGGTCTCCTTATTCCGTCTAATCGATGCCTGAATAGCTTTTTTGTCTTTCCCAACAGATCTAAAGAGAAAAAGGACCAGAAAGTACCTTTACTTCTTTCACTTCTCTTCATTTTGCCCTGATCTAATTCTCAGCACAGAGGAGAGGAGGGAGCACCTTTCCCTTTATTATGAGCACAGCTGAGCTTCACTTGCTCGCTTTTGATGGCAACCAAAGGCACCTAAGTTCCTGAAGCTTACGGTTAACACTGGGACTGTTCTAATTACTAGATGTAATCTAGAACTGGCACTGGTGAACTTTTTCTGTAAGCAGCTAGATACATACTTTAGGCTTTGCACGCCACAGTTTCAGTTACATATTCCATTTTCCCCCCTCTTTTCTTCTATTTTACAAAAATGTACAACATGGACCACACAAAATTAGGACACAGGCCAAATTTTGCTCAGGAGCCTTTGTTTGCCAAATCTTGTTCTAAGACAACCAGAATTAAACTATCAGTATAATTCTACATTATATCATATAATTCTATCAGTATAATTCTGTAATGCAACTTTTTAAAACTCCTGCTTTTCCTTACAACAGTGTTAAAATGGAATTGGAGTTGAAGGGAGAAAAAAAATGGGAGGAATATCCCCCCTCCTCAGAAACGAGAAAGCTCTTTAGGAACGTGTGCTCAACAAAAGAACAGTCTGACCACTAGTCTCTTTCCGTCTAGTGATTCTCATTGTGCTTTTGGTGCCAAGGAACTAAGTAAGTGTGTTTAGGAATAGCTTTAATTACCTGGGAATGGAAGGCTGTGATGCAAGAACAGCAGCTAAGACACCTGTCTTTTGTGTGTGTTCATCAACGTCTGGCCTTAACTCATCTTCTGATTTTAGTCTTCTCCGAACAGGTTTAGGTGGTGGAGCAAGAGGTGTTGTGCCTTTGCTCTAGAAGACAAGAATTACATTAATCATAGACATTTCTTGAAGATACTGTGGTCAGCACTTTGTCATCACTGTTTTCTTTAAGCCACCTGCTCTCAAAAAGATTAAAAGCTACACGTCCCACTCTAAAACAACTTGAGACAACAGCTATCTTAAGAATGCAACAGGAAAAGATGGGTCTAGTTGACATTGCAATCAAACATACCTACGAAACAAATATTTTACAAAGTAACACAAGCTTCTTGGGGACTGAATCTGACTCAACTGCAAAAGTCAAGTTTTAACATAAATATATGCTCAATACATACCTCCTCGATAAACAGCAGAAACCTCCAGAAGGATGCATCCATTATCATCATAAGAATTCCTACCCAGTCTATGCCCAAACTACCCTGAATGCGCCCAATCTCGTCTGATCTTAGAAGCTAAGCAAGGTCTCACCAGATCAGTACTTGGATGAGAGAACTCCTACTCAAACAGGCTATTTCATCTTAATGAAATAACATCATTATTATTTTTTGGATTTTTGAGACAGGGTCTTGCTGTGCAGTTCAGGTTGGCCTTTGAACTCACTATGTAGCCCAGGGTAGCCTCATCCTCAAAGAAATCCTCCTGCCTCAGCCTCCTAGAGTGCTGGGATTTCAGGCATACACCACCATGCCTAGTATGAAATAACTTATTATAAAGAAATGGGAAGGTTGGCAATTCTTAAATGCCACTAAAATGCATGGTAATTAGGATTCTTGAAAATGAGTGAACATTTTGTTGAAGATTGTAAATCTGCCTCCGATAAGATTAAATACAGTAGGTATTTCAGTGTTTATCATAACCTGATTGTACCTGTAAATAAATAAAAACAGAGCCAACTGTTATCTCTTTAGTTAAATACTTTTTAAGATCTACTGCCATGAGCTGAAAAAAAATAAAATTCACTATTAAAAGAAAAATGACAGCTGGATGTGGTGGCACCTGCCTGGAAATCCTAGCACTTGAGGAGGCGGAGCAGAAGGATCACAAGTTCAAGCTCAGCCTGGTTAACTCAAAAACTCGGTTAAGACCTTGTCTCAAAATAAATTAATGAATAAATAAATAAATAAGATTGGATTCAATCTCTAGTATCATCAAAAGAAAAACAAAACAAAATTCCCCAAACCCTTAAATTGGATGTGAGGGCAATCTGGCTGCGACATCTGTCAACACTGACACTAGGGTTGATTCGGCTGATCTGGTTGGCTAGGCGGGTGTCCCTTCCTCCCTCACTGCTCCCTGAGCATCCCTCCCAAAGCTGCACAACCAACCTGGACGGAGGAGAACCATTTCCTTGGTCAGTGTATATGAGAAGCTGCGCTCCCCTGCTAGAACCTCCAAACAAGCTCTCAAAACCTCAAAACTACTAACACAGTAAAACTTAAGCACCAAGAAAACAGAATTTAAGTACTTTTGGAAAAATGTGGTAGCCACATAAATATTAAGAATAGGTGGCACACACTACCTCGATTATAGAATACCATCTCCATTCAATAGGCAGACTGTTCTGAGACAGACTGAATCCACTACATTTAAATGCAACAGGATGGCTTAGATGATTTCCAGTTCAATTTCTAAAAATTATCTCATGTAACTTTTCATATGTATGAAGCTGTATCATAGAAGACTTTTTTGCATACCACATTGGCAGGAGCACTAGCAGCTGTCTTTTCTTCAGTTTTACTATCTGTTTTGGCAACTCGGAGAGAACTCGCAGGATCAGAAGCTTTTTCAACCTGAGATGAATATATTATCACTGTTAACTATACGTAAGTAATACACAGCTATGAATAAATGTGAAATATACAGCAAATCAGAGTAAAATATTAGGAAAATGTTCATTCGGACAAGAACTCTGAAATGAGGACAAGGAGGAACTTGAAAGGTCTTCAGAGGAGGGACGGGCACCTGAGGATGCAGCACTGCATACTATGGGTGGTGGCACCCACCCAGGCCTGGGTACCACTCCCCAGTACCCTGTGCGCATCTGTACCTGCCCTCAGGCCCACCCGTTTTCCTGGGTGCAGTCCTTTCCCCTTGTAGACTGGGAGGAAAGTTACAGGTGTGAAGAAGTAGCAGAAACAAATATATATGAAATTTTAAATTGTGCCAGTCAATTAAAAAGGACTTTCTGGAACACGGGTTGAAACAGAACAGAGGTTTTAGGATTTCTCTGATCCCTCCAACGACACGTTTATGCACAATGATGTAGGTCAGCTATTTCTAGAGATGTTCTTTGCCACTGTCACAGTGTCTTGGAACAGTCTGCAAAGACTCTACTTGGCACTGCACAGTACGTAAGTACTTCCAACTAAGGCAACGTCCATGAACTGAGGGTAGCCATAGCTTCTTATCCCATGAAAATCCTCATCAAATCACACAATTACCACTCAGATTAAACCCTCAGAGCAGTGTTTCAGCCAGGACCAGGTATTTTTGTCCTTTCACACAACACCAGCTTGGCCCAGATTCTAACTTTTAGTAAATGTATTGCACCCAGCAGGGGTTGGTGGCAGATAAAGCTGAATGAAGCACGGACCTGGGGAACACAAGTCTTCCAGAAAGAGGCAGCAGCAGATATTTTACTCATGGACCTTCCCGCTCCGATACCCCCTCACCCCCGCTCCCCATGGGCTCTAGGAGTTCCTGTTTATGGACAAGATTTAGAGCGTGATGTGGGAGGAGACTGCCACACATTAGCTGTAAGCCCTTGACAACTGACCGGCAAGACCTCTGCATGTTTCTCAGCTTCATCATCTTGTTCTTCATTTACACTTGATGCAGCAAATACTTCAAACTGGCTGAAATCTGCAAAATTGGGTTGTTCTGGTATCTGCTGAGGTGAGGTACTAGTGTGAGTTACTAGGCCATCGGCATCCACTGGGCGATGAACAACAGGACCAGGAGCCTGGGCAACAGTTTAGAACAGAGGAGCACACGTTTAATGGCCGATCAATGTCAGAACAGCCTTTTTCTTTTTCCTTTAAAAATATAATAACATCTATTACAGATGAATTTTATTATCTATAAATTTAGGAAAGTATACTACACTTAACATTTAGCCATAAACGTTTGAGTTGTAAGTAAAAAGCTAAGATACTCAAAAAATGAAGATGATAAAGCTCCAATAAAGAAGATACTCTTTCAGAAATTTTATTGCAGGGGCTGGGGATTTAGCTCAGCGGCAAAGTGCCTGCCTGGCAAGCGCAAGGTCGTGAGTTCGGTTCCCGGTACCGGAGAAAATCCAAAAAAAAAAAGAAATTTTATTGCAAACAAAGTATAATGGAAGAGAGGGGAAGGTCTGGTCCTATCCAAATTCTCATTTGCATCTATGTTTTTCTAAGTTGGGAAGCTGCATAATAATTTGTTCTTTTAAAAATCTTTCTTTAAAAGGTGCTTTTTTTAAAGCATAAAAAACCACTGCTCTAACTATTCTCCCAACGTGTCAGGTGCACTTGGACTCTGCTCCTCTGGCAGACCAAGGCTGCTAAGATCCTGAGTATCGACTTTTGCCAGGCACCATAAACACAACAGTGACACAATAAAAAAGGCTCATCCTTGCATGCAGCTGACAGCCCAGAGCAGGATTAGGACGTAAGTAAACAAGGCATTAATACAGAGACGAGAAGTTCTATGACAAAGGACGCCATAGGAATAAATCAGAAGCCTTGTCCTTCCTTACCCTTTTAAAATTCTCCAGCTCCCAAAAGAAAAATTCTAATCTGGGTGTAAGATGCTCTGCTTCCTCCTCATCTCTAGTTTCATCTTCCATCATCCCACACGTCTATTCCAGTTGTACTGAATTAAGCTGTCTTTCCCTGAAGAACCTGCTAAGCTCCTGCCCACCTCTGAGTCTTTGTGGATGCCATCCCTTCTGTCTGGACTTCTCTCTCCCCAGGAACTAGCACTGCACCTTTCAAGTCCCGCTCAAGTCTTACTTCATCTTATTTATACCTCTGCAACGTGACCTCTGACTTTACTGGCCACTAATGTGGTCCCAGAGCATTTTAGCAACACATCTAGAGCAGTGCTTCAATCCTGACCTGGAAGGGATGCAGAGAACAGAAGTCATCCCCCTCCCCTCACTGGTGTGGTAACACATCCAGAGGGCGCTGGGGTCACTGTGTGGGTCACTGCTAGACCCCTAGTATCTCCCATCTCCTAACGTATTCTTCTTGTCACTAAACCCTCCACTGTTAGGACACTATCATCTGTTTTGTTTTTAATATTCTTTCAAAGGATAACCCAGATCTAAAAAAATCCTTATTTTCTAAAGTAATACTTAGCTTAACTAAATTAAATGTTCACTAAGGATAATTATTAGGTGACTCCTGGTCTTCCAAATAATTGTGAGCCAGAACCAGATAGGTTTAAGAGATGAACCGATCACAGGCTGACCTGCAAGGATTACCTGTGAGGGCTGTGGTCTTGGAGGCACTGCAGGAGGATGGGCAACAACTCCAGCCTGTTGCTGTCCTGTGTGAATACGCGAGCCATCTTTTTAGTAAATACATAATCACTTTGCTAATAGAAGAAATGGGCTGAATGACCGACTACCAGATGAACACTTCTGAGAACGCTTGTTAAGTGTTTGAAGGCGGCTACTTAGAAAATGGCTTGTATGTGCCACAACGGCCAAACTCCATGGCCTCTTCCCAAGTTTCATTTCTCCTCTCAGCTCTGTCACACGAGGGATTCCTGACAAGCTCCTGCCTAATTCTATGACAGTACACATTCTCGGTTCCCCACTGTACCCCTATTTCTCTTTGCTCTTTCACTATCAGATATGAGGACTTCCAAACTTCTTGTATTTAACCCTCCATTCTGCCATTTCTATGGAAATGATTTTCAAACACTATATAAACCTTTCTAGGCCCAAATGTCCAGTAGCCCACTGATCATTTATATTTTTTCTCACCATTCCAAACTTTCAATGACTGAAATTATCACCGGCCTCTGCCCTAAATTCTCTATTCTCATCAGTATAGTAACAACCTGACAGTTGTGTAAACACTGAAACCCTGGAGTTATGACTGGTTCCATCAGACAAAGCACGTATTTTTAAACTTCCTGTGGCATCTCTCTGGTTCCCATCTTTATTATTTGTACTTGCACTACTCCCAGCTTTGGTCCTAACCTCATCTGTCACAAAAAAAAAAAAAAAACCCAACAAAAAACCTCCGCTCATTTGGTATCTTTAATGCACATTTTTCTTCAGATAAATATAACAAGATCTATCAAGAGCAAAGGAATAAAATGCCATGTCGGACTAACTTTAAAATTAAATAATGTACATTATGGGTCTCTCGCCCTACCTGTGGTGACTGTAAAGGTCCGATTCATGTCTAAGGAGGATGACCTGGAATGAGAGGGCTGTGGCCTTGGAGGGGGAGGCGGTGGTGCAGTGTTATCTGGCGATGTTCCAGAATGAGACCTGCAAAATTCAGCCATCACAACTGGTCACACTACTGATACTGGGCTTTCCTTTTAAGCATTCAAACTTGGCTAAGCAGCAAAGGGCCTTACTACCATGATGTTTTCAAAAGTAGTACCTATTCAAGGATTACAATAAATAAAGTAATAATAATACTAAATAAAATATATAATAATAATTTGTGCTGTATCCTACACATGTTGTGTTTTCTTGGTACTGAGGATTAAACCCAGGGGGTCCTAAGGATGCAATCTACTAACGAACTACACTCCCAGCCACTATCCCTCTCCCCTACCCCTTCTGTGGCACAGGACTGAACTCAGAGCTGCACTGAGCTGGATCACCAACCCTTTATTTTTTATTATGAGACAGGGTCTTGCTAAGTTGCCCAGGCTGGACTCAAAACTTACAATCCTCCCGCCTCAGCCTCTCAAGAGTACTGGGACTATAGCGCCACCACCCCAACTCCCAGTCTTTCTGTATTCTGAGACAGGGCCTTGTTAAGTTGTCCGAGCTGGCACTGAACTTGCACTCCTCCTGGCTTACTCTCCTGACTAGCTGGGTGTGCCACCATGCTGGCACAAGTGGTTATTTAATGAGGCAAATAATTGCTTTTATAAAATTATACATTAAACAAAACTTCAAAACTTGGACAGTTTTTTGTCAACATGATTTTAAGACTACAACTCAGAATAATGCTTTTCCGTTTAATTAAAGGTAATATTAACCTGAAAAACTGTTCAAAGAGAGAAACTGTACTTTCAAATACGGGTTACTTTCCAAATTCTTAAGGGTTGGAACTTGGAAAGCTGAGGGAAAATCTGGCTGATCTACATGAGGAGCCCACTGACTGTCACCAAAAGCCACCCTAATCGGAGAGGTGACTACACTCAACCTCAGCTTGGCCTAGAGACTGATTTCTTTGTTAGCACAGTCTTCCACATTCTGAAGAGGTTTTCCATGGGTGCTGGCAATGTACTTTTCACACACAGGGATAAAAAGCACAAAATCCATGATGACCAGAACCTCTAGAAAACACATGCAGAACCAGAAGGGAAACAAGCAGCCTTCTGACTCCATAAGCTTTTTACAAATCCTGCCTCTCACTGCATCCTCCAGGCATGTGGCAAAAGGACACTTATCACACGAAAAAAGTGAGGAAAGAAAGATGCTTCTGTCCCGCATACAGCTTTTAGTGGATGGGAAAGACCCTGCAGGCAAATCTCTTGCTACCCTCTGCCCGATCTCACACGTTCTGTCTGTGCCTGAAAGGTTATATGCAATGCAGAACTTCAGAGGGGCAGGAGCTCACCGCTGCGCTGTCCTCTGGACAGGTTTAACATACAGAGTTCTTCTGGTACTCACCCTATGTCTATACGTTTTTATGTAAACTGACTTCCGTTGTTCTCTCGATGTTTAGTTACACAAAGAACTATGTCAAATTTCTATTGCCAAGATATTATCAGCTGTTTTTGGACCTTCCACAAAATATATGAAAAAAATCTGGGTTCCTTTTGTTTTTTTTATTTGTGTTGGAAAGCACCAAAAGTACTTGTATTTTACATAAATCAACAGATAACCTAACAGCCTTTCAGAGAACAAAATAATCTGTGCTTGGTTCCAAATAATCTTAATTATTAAAACACATCAAGATATTTTAACACACTTTTTATTGACAGAAATACTGACCTTTGACGAGTTACATTGCTCCCGATCTGCTCTGGGTCAGAAGTAAAAGAGTCTGAACTACTGTAACCATCTGCTGATAAATGGGATATGTCCTATTTAATAATAATCATTTCTTTACTTTTTGCTCTATCTAGCCCAAACATACATAATATACTGTTTCAAATCAGAGATACTTGAAGACTGTTAATAGGCTAACAGTTTTTATCACAGTCTTACTAACTGTAAAAAATAAAATATAAAAAAATCAAATAAATCATGCATACTTCTAGAGCAGACAGAATAAATTAGTGTAAAATATTTTTATAAAATAATATTTTTATAAAAAATTATAGTATATTAATATTTACTGATAGGTTTCAAATTTCTTCAGACTTTGAAATGTTTTTATATTCAGAAGGAATACCATGAGGATATGACCCAAGTCTAAATACAGAAATCACCTATTTCATGTGTACCTTATACACATAAATCTGAAGATAACGTTATACAGTATTTGTACCTTGCCTTTGTTCTGACTACGACACATCAGATAAGGGCAGGTATGGGATTTTCTACCGTGAAGTCTTGTCAGTGCTCAAACATGTGGGATTCCTGAAGCACTTCAGATTTTGGCTTTTCAGAACAGGGTTGCTCAACTTGCATTATATATACGCACATTCATTTGTATATATTCATGTGTATTACACTACACACAATTATTTGTGGAATATTGAGAGTACGATTATTTTCTTGTTTTTGTTTATTTACTACCTTTCTACAAAAAGTCACTTGGAATACCAATGGGAAATAATTTTAAGAAAACTTATTATAAAATTGTTAATGTGAAAAATAAAAATCTGACATGGGATAAAATGTGCTTATACAATTATAAAATTTATGAAATTAGCTAGAGATCTCTGATTTTCCTCCAGAGGAAACATCGCTTTTAATTTCCTCAAAGTCTTAGGAAGCAGCAGAAAATCCTAGACGTTGGCTAACAGTGATGACAGACTAAAAAAAGATTTTAAAAATAGAATCTTCAGGGACAATCTGAAGAAATACTTACATGCACTTTCAGGAATTATAAAATGAAGGGACTGATTTGGTTCAGTTTCATTTCAAAATATATCTTTTTCCTTTTTCTTATCAAATCACAAAATTATTTAGCTGGTAGAAGGATGATGCTAAACAACCTATTTCTACTTGGATGTTCTAATAGGCACCTTGAATTTTCGATGTCCAAGACTGACGTCGTATTCTTTCTCTGCACACCTGCTACAGTATTTGCGGCACAGCCTTCCTCATCTCTCAGCTGCAGAGGCAAAACGCCTGGAAGCCCCAACTCTTCTCTCCTATCTGATACCACGCAGGCAAAGCAAACCTTGTGGTCTTTTCCTATGAAGTGTGTAAGACACAGCCCCAAATCTGACCACTTCTCAACACTTCCACACTCCATCAAATCATTATCTTTTCTCGCCTGGATTACTGTAACTAACACCTAAACTGTTTTTTCTTCTTCCCACTCTTGCCTTATTCTGGAGTGTTATCACTAGAACTGCCAGAATGATTTTGTTAAAAAGGAAGGTCACAGCATGTTGCTCCATTCAAAATCTTCTAATGGCTTTTCATGCTCACTCAGGAAAAGTCAGTCTCACACTGCTTCCTGTTGCTCATCTACCACTTGCTACCTCCGCTTGCTGTTCTAGTAGAGGCAAGTTTCCTGCCTTAGGGCTTTACATTTGCTGCTCCCCGTCCCTTGGTCACCTCCCCCCAGGACTCAAGTAGGTGAACCCTTTCTGCTCCTGTCTTCTGCTAAGGCCTTTACGGACCACCTTACTTTAACTGGTATTCCTTTCCCCTTCAGTCTTTGTGTCCACTGTGGTTTAATTACCTAATTACTTTCTACTATGAGTTTTTCTCTTTCTCTTTTCTCTTGTTTCCTTTACAGAATATAAACTCTAATTAGGCAAAGATTTTTTTGTTTTATTTACTGCTAAATCATCAGTGCCTAGAAAAGAACCTGGCACACAGCATCTAATTAATACTGGCTGAATAAATGAATATATCCACAATGTTTTGTGAGAAAAAATGAATGAAACAAAAAAATTCGTGGGGAAGATCCAAGTGCCCAAACTGAGAGGGAAGGCGTGCAGGCAGCATGCCTTACGCCGGTGGCAAGGGTGTTTAAAAGAGCTGAGTGCCTTCTACTCAGTCACTGAAGACAATCAGCTATACACCTGGGTTATTCGGACTTAATACACTTTAAAAGGAAGGTGTGATGCTATCTTTCACTTACCTACAGTATTTCCAGAAGCAAATTTCACTGCTGTATTTATCTTATTTTCTTCTGAAAGGTCAGATGGTTTCACAAGTAATGGGCTAGTGGGATTAGTATGATCTAGTAGAGAATTAACAGTAAAAATACAAGACAAAGGTATTTGAATTGGTAAATTCATGAAAGAGTTCATTTACATATTCTACCTACATGGCAAATAGTAAATCTATGAACTATAAGATGAAATAATAATTTTAATTAAAAACAAATGTCAATCTGGTTATACAGAATTTTATTATCTGCCATAATAAAGATACTTCAGGGGCTGGAGATTTAGCTCAGCGGCAAAAGCGCCTGCCTGGCAAGTGCAAGGTCGTGAGTTCAGTTCCCGGTACCGGAGAAAAACCAAAAACAAACAAACAAAAAAAGATACTTCATAATGAAAAAGTTCACATGCACACTCACTTTGTTAATTTATATAGCACAACTGCTTGGTACATATATGGACTATAAAATAATTTATGATGCTGATTTACCTGGGAGATAAATCAGGAATCTTAACTAAAACATTTAGACTAATACGGGAAAATTCTAGGAGTTCAGAAAACATACAATTTACAAAATTTATATACAAAGGCTGAAATTTAAACTCTTCAGTTAAAGATTGAAAATACTTTAAATATAAGTTCACAAAGTGACAATAAAAATCCACAATATTAGCACTATCATATTTTCAAAAGCTTTGCTTAAAAACTTATTAATTTAAAATCAATAATTTCCTTCCAAAATCTGCAAGGCAAACAAACATCTGTGTATCCATATACAACTGTAGGAAGTACTAGTTTAAAAAATAAGCAATTATCAAAGAAATCTGTACCTCTGGAGAATAATTACTTAAGTGTTTTAGCTGGTGGGGAACTAAAATATACAACGCAGCAATAGCTTCCTTACCGCTGCCAGTTCTTTTAAGTTCCATTTCCTGCATGTGGATCTTGCTTGGGGTCATACGAATGGGAACTGGGTGAACAATAGCAGTATCCTAGAGACAAAAAGGAGAAATACAAAATCTTTATCAAACATGCCAAGCTAATATGAAAGGATCAAAACTGACAATAGTGTAAAAACTGGTAGATAAGATTTTCTCATTCACACTAAGGTAAACATTAAAATTAAAAGCTACAGAATTTTACTAAAATATTAGTTCACTCTATATTGTGAAAATCTGGTTTATTTTACAAAAAATATATTTTAACTTGAGCCATTAAAGATTTGCATAAAAATGATTCTATAAGAACACATTTTAAGATAATATTCAAAAGCTAAGTGTGAAATAGTCTAATGAAATTACACACGTTAACCTTTGAGGTTAAAGTGAACTATTTCGTGAGAATACAAGACTGAATACTCATTTTTACTAACTAAACTGCTCAAGAAAACTTGAAGCTTTTTCCCATCAATAAAACAAAAATAATGGGATGCTCGTTTCATTGCACTAGGAGGAACAAGTACATACTCTTTTACAGTTCAAACTGTTTAAATTGATTGTCCCAAAATTTAGCATAGAACTTCCACAAGAGAATCCACTTTTTTTTTTTTTGGTTTTTTTCTGGTGCCAGAAATTGAACTCACGACCTTGCGCTTGCCAGGCAGGCGCTGTGCCGCTGAGCTAAATCCCCAGCCCCGGGAATCCATTTTTTAAGAAGAACAGCTAAGACTTTCACTGTAACACACTAACACTTTTCTTACACCATTTCTGCTACTGTAACCTGTAAGATATTTCTAAACTTCATCCGTGGAAATTTTGGAGGAGTACAGGCATTGGTAATAAGGGCTTTTGTAAAGTATCAAAGAGCCATGACAAAGAAGAGAGGATGAATACAAACAGTAGCAACTCATACAGAGAAGGAAAAGGAGGTTCCCCTGGGGGGAACTGGCCCTGGGGACTGGGAACCCTGTGGGAGGAACCAGAAGCCAATCAAGCAGCTGGCCTCTCAGCAACAGATCAGCTGAGAAAGGATGAGCAAAGGAGCTTCTCTGTTAGGACGTGCAGTTAAAAGCTAACTTTAAGAAGCTGAGCGTGGTGGCACATACCTGTACTCCCAGCACTCTCCCAGTAGTTCAGAGCCTGAGGCAGGAGGACTGCTGGGAGTTGAGGCCAGCCTGGGCTACATAATGTGAGTTCAAGGACAGGCACACACGCATGCCAAACTTAACATTTCAAATATTTCCTAATGGGTTAGTTTCTAACCACTGTTTTGGTGATAATAGTAAGTTAACACCAAGTCCCCTCGAGGCAAAGTTATGTTCCTGCATAAGGTCTTCTGTGCTTGTTTACTCTAAATTCCAACAATTTATAACAAGTTCTTTAGAGCTAAAACCCTAACGAAGTCAAAGTAATCCAAAGCAATTTCTTGCTCCCTACATTGGTGAGAATCTGAGAAGGGCTCATGTATTTAACCAATAAACCTGAACTAATATTACCCCAACTTTAAAATATTTGTAACAATACATTAAAGATACTGTTTAACTTATAGTTAGCTATAAAAACATGGCTTTCTGAATGACAGTGTTCTTGCTTAACTCACATTTTTAAGAATTTTAAGACTTAATCTTTGCTCATCTAGTATGTGTATTTTCTCATTACACTTATACCCTGCTGATTTCATGTCATTTTATATATTACTTAATATCTGTGCATATCTTTTACATTTTCTATACTGTTAATTTTTTCTAATTGATGAGTTTCAAAATACAACTTTGCATCCATTTTTCAAGATATGATAAATATATTCTTGTTACTGAATTTTAAAAATTATGTTCTTGATATATAATTGTATCAGTCTAATTTAGTCCCATTAACCACTCATTTTAATAGTTTGTACTTGTGGAACCTTTAAAATATATACCTAATCTCCAATTCCAAACTCTTATTAAAGATAATCTTCAAATGGTATCTTCTCAAAGTTTTATACGTTTGCCCTTTATGTAATGGGAGCGAGTTTTTTAAAAATACGATGTTAGGAAAGCAGCTGTTTTATGCACTCTTCCCAGATGTCCTTGAAAGGAACGTATAGTCTTGGGCAGTGTTTTCATTACCACTATCTGATTAAATTTGCTAATCTGTATCATTCCAATTATTGATAAATTTAGTATCTGACTGCTGTGTGCGTGCATGTGTGTGTGTGTGTGTGTGTGTGTGTGTGTGTGTGTATGGCTTTTTGAGACTGTTCAGGGGTTGGCCTTGAACTTCGGGTGATCCTTTTACCTCAGACTCCTGAGTGCTGGGATTACAGGCATGTGCCACCACTCCCGGCTCTGAATACTACCTTATACTAAGCTAATCTATCTGTATTTCCTACATATCTTACAACCTGTTTTTCCTGTCTGCCTGAATCCATCCCTGACTACATTCCATTCCTGTTTCAGGGACTCTCTCTGATTTTTTGCACTACAGTCAATTCTTTCATATTGTGGTTATTCTGAATGATCTTCCCCAGTTGGCCCCTTCCCCCTTTCTGTACTGGGGATTGAACTCAGGGCCTTGACACTGAGCTACATTCCCAAACCTTTTTATGTATTATTATTTTTTATTTTGAGGCAAGCCCTCACTAAATCCCTAAATTGCCCAGGTGGAGCTTGAACTTGCAATCCTCCTGCCTCAGCCTCCAGAATGCTGGATTTACAGGCCTGTGCCACTATGCCCAGCTGTTTATCTCATCTTGGTAAGTCTGTGCTAGCTCCTGGTGTCTAAGAGATAAAGTTCAGCTCCTTACTCTAGGATTCTAAGATCTTCTCAATCTGCTTTCAACTACATGCTTTTGCCTCCAACATTTCTCCATAAATATGTACGCCCTCTGCAACCAGCACATTGATCTGATCCTGACCACGACATGTTCTCTGCTTAGAATGCTCTTCTTCACTTTTCCCAATCTCTGCTTTCATTCACGACTTCACACACAAACACAACCTTTTGTGAAAATGCTTCCACATTCACTGAGCTGCCTTCCTTGGCCAACTCCTTCTTTGCCTACACTACTGCTCGGTTATGTGTACTGATAATTATCATAACTAGCCACGTTTTAAGCAGCTTCAGTGGCTGAAATGCTGCTCTTTCATATGCTGAACTGCTTAATTCTACAGCACTCACGGCCAGGGATAATCATGTCGAAGACTACAGCACTACACTTCTCATCAGTCTAGAACAGGCCTAGTGTTGGGTTCACGTTCACTCCAGAGGCAGCAGATTCTACCAGGTTTGGCTTAACATTTGATAAGCAGCTCTAGCTAACCAGTTTGTGGGAATAAGACCATCAGAATCTAAATTTCATCAGAACTCTATGAGCATATTAAACCATTCCCATGTGAATGTGAGGCTGCTACACCGTGTTATGGAGGTCTCTGGGGGCTAGGGATCAGTGTGGAGCTTTTCTTATTTTTTCCTTTATTAGGCAAATGACTAATTTTCATATCAGAACTGTAGTGTTTTTCCTATATGATTTCCTTATAATCTGAATAGGCCTTATTTAATTTATAATTCCTATTTAGATAAGCCTTGCAAAGAATCATCTAGGATTTTGGCCACAGGCTACAGTGTGTAAAGAGGCAACACTTCAGATAAGAAAGCAGGGCATTCTCACAATTGAAAATCTAAAGTGAGAGGAAAGGATGGAAAAAACAAAGTTCAGATTTAAATCTGACACCATAAAAGAAATAGCTATATCTAGATATCAGGTCATAAAAATATTTAAGATTGTAAACTGTACCAATCAAATTCAGAAGTCAAAATTCAGGATTAAAATATGAATTAACCTTTCTTTATTCTCCTAGAGCCTCCTGCTACATTAAAGAACACAAAATAAAGTCTTGGGCCATATAATTTTAAAACATTGGAGCTGGTCCTCACAAATTGGGATATTATTTAAGAAATAAGAAGACTATCACTACTATTAAGCTAAATATTTTTCAATACTTTCTGCCAGTTATGAGTCAATTTATTTTGCCTCTGAGTTCTAGACTCCTTCCCAGCCCTGTACTGGGGGATAAACTCAGGGGTCAGGCATGCCAGGTAGGTATTCTACCACTAAGCCATACCCCTCAGCCCTTTTAAATTTTATTTTGAGATATGGTCTTGCTAACTTGTTTTTTTGGTTTTTTGTTTTTCTTCCGGTACCAGGAATTGAACTCACAACCTTGCACTTGCCAGGCAGGCGCTCTGCCGCTGAGCTAAATCCCCAGCCCCAAGTCTTGCTAACCTCTGATCCTTCTCTGCCTCGGCCTCCTAAGCAGTAGGATTATAGGTATGTGCTACCATGACCAGCTAGGTTTTTATATATGATATTCTTGCCTTGATCTGACAGAGTCCTAATGCTATGAATGATTGCTTTCGATGTCTTTTAAGAGAGAATAAAATTGTTTCTTTATTGCTAACTCAAACCTTTCTTCTCATAAAACACTGTAAGTAAAATTGACTCTATAGAGAAACAAAATTTAAAGCTTAAGGAAACCTGACTGAATCTGTCACTTCAAGAGATTTTAATTATGGCTGCTAATAAGCAACAAAAATTTTGAGGATTGGCTTTTTATTTTTCCTGCAGTTTTCAGAGATTAAAATCAAATAAATGCCTTAAACTTGGAAAAGATAAGCACAAATGACCTACATAGTAATTGGCCTCTGAACACTTAATGGACTATAAAATAAACATTTAAAAACTGCCCATATGTTGTTTGAATTCAATGACTGTAATAGTATCCCTATTAGAAACAAATTGTTCAAAACTATAAAACATTAAAACACATTAAACTGAAGATACTTTAAATGCCACTTCCCCAGAACCCACATTAAATGACAAGACCATTTTTATGTTTAATGAAGAAACGTTGGCTGTCTTTGATTAGAAACATCTAAAAAGAATTCACTGCATCACTTTCTCCACATCTTTTTACTTAGCTCACTCTAAAAAGATCCTACCTTATACAATCTTCTTCCCGTTCTACTTTTTTGATTTTGGAAAGTGCTAAGTAGCACATAGTCCTCCTTTAAAGTAAAGAAGGGAGTGTGGAGGGAGGGAGATAATGACCTAGAGCTGGGGCGGGGGCAGAAAGAATGGTTTTGTGAAACCTTTGAAGTTTCCAAATTATTTGAAGAACAGGCAGACCATGAAATTAAGTGTAAGGAGATAAATTTTTAAATCGAGATATGAACTTTGTAGCACTTTCAAAGCAACACAGTAAATCACAGGAAGACAAGACAGAGAATCCTTTGCACAAGAGGAATCTTAGATCAATAGTTCTGTATTGTTTTGCTGAACCTTTTTGGTTTTACTAGAGAGACAGGGTCTTGCTATGTAGCCCAGGCTGGCCTGGAACTTGCAGGATCCTCCTATCTCAGCCTCCCAAGTGCTGGGATTACAAGCATGCACCACCACGCTTGGCTTGTTTCGCTAAACTTGATCCAAATAAAATTTAACACACCAATTTAATAAAAGCAGTCATCACTTGAAGTGTTTTTAAAAAAGGACACTGCATAAATACTTACATACACAATACATATTATATGACGTGTAAGCACACAAAGTAATATTCACATTAAGTGTCACTACACTGAGATAAGCAGTATATGCTTAATAAAACATACACTTAACTAGCAAACGATACCATGATTAACCAAGTCGCCACAAAATGCTTCTGTACACACATATACCAGATTTTCAAAGCATACAGTTTTCTATCACCAAGATAATTAGAAAATACAAGGCAAGGGAAAAAATGTTCTCTCCACCATTAAGCACACAAAAATTGAAAAGCCTGCCAACATTTCCTTCTAAGCACTACACAACTCATGCATATCAGCTAAAAACCATAATGAATGGAAATTTGGGTTAATAAAATTAATTTCAAACAAGCAAGCTAAGTGATTGACTTACAGGATCAGCTGGTGCAATGTTAGAATCAAATTGGGTCAGAGTTTGTGAGCTTGAAGAGCGTTCACTAAATGTCTCCCACTGCTGAACAGACAGAGGAGAGACAAGTCAGCACGATGAGAAAGATGGAGGAGAAGATCACTGGAGAAGGTTTAGCGAAGTATTTCAGAGGTTGCACTGCAAGTTGGGTTTCACAGGTCTAACAAAATTCTGTGACTTCCATTTTCCCACAAACATTTTATACTTATCAATGCTGGGACACATTGTAATGTAAGGAGAGCAACTTCCCTCAAATATAGTAATCACATTTCATCTCCATGGAAGAGATTCAAAGCCTTACAGAACCAAAACTCAAAACGCAATATGGGAACTCAAAACACAGGAATGTAAGTGATACAAATGCCCACCACGCAAAAATGTGAATTTTTTGTCTTGACGAGACTAACTTCAAATCCTTCTTTTAAAATTCAAATGTTAATGCTTTGATTTGGTGATGTGAACGAAGCAAGGTTTTGGTCAAAATAAAGCAAGTCAGTGAGACCTGCAGGTGCGACCCCTGAAAGGTGATTGTTTATGTACGTGCACATATTTTCCACATATGCAGATATTTAATAAAATACAACTGAGATACAATGCAAGGAATCCTGGAATTAATGTGTTTGAACTTATGCTGTGGGTAGCAAGTCAACCCCTGCACTCAGCAATACAAACGGCCATGCCAGACCACAAGACAGAACTGCCAGTCAGGCACCCCCACCCCATGCTAGGAAAACCAGAATGCGGCCACAATGAGAGCAAACCAAGCATCAAAGTATGTGTTATACATAGAAGATGTATATGAAATACTATGTATTCTAAAAGAGGTACACAAAGAAATATCATACCTCTTAAAATAGGTGGAATGATAAGTCAATATTAATTACAGTTAATTCCATTTGTGTCAGAGATCTTAGTAATAAAACACTATAAAACTTTTACATCAAAGTTGTATAAAAATTATCAGTTGTCTTCCAAAGAGGGAAAAACACCTACACATATACAATTTATACACACAAATGTTTACACATAGACACAACTACCCCATTTACTAAAAACCTTTTTATAATCTAGTTTGGGAAAGATACATTTTTTATGCTTCAAAGTTCAACTTACTGTTTAAAATTGATATTCAATATGAGAAGACACATGGAATCAGATATTAGCAAATGGGCACACTGCTGAAAATTAGCTCAACATGGCTAATACAATCACTGAATAACTTTTCCTATAGATTAATTTTAATATGAAAAGTAAGATATATGAGAAGTACTGATGAGTTCAAAGTGTTTCAATGAATAAAAGCCCACAATAATTCATTTTTATCAAGGGATATCACTTCAGAGAACTGATTTAAAAATATTTGTCAATATATAAATGGTTGCTTCTAAGATTCAGAAGGAACTTTACAAACCCTAATTATCTGTGTACCTTGTTGGAGCGGCCTGGAATTTAACTTTGTTGTGAAAGACTTCGGAGGCTGTCTGGATGCACAGACACCCACCTTCATAACCTCAGTACAATGGGTAAGAGCGCAGGCACAAGAGACACGCTCCTGGAGTCCTTGAGCCACATAACCTCTCAGTGCCTCGCTTTCACCATGTGTGACATGAGATGAGCAGTGTCCACCTTACAGGGATGTTCTCAGGACTTAAGAGTTGCTTGTTGAATCCCTATTATCTTGATTAGTGAAACTCTGTATCGTTTCTAATATTTTATTATTTTTTATTCTTTTTAATTGATCACTTATATTCTTACATTTGGTAATCTAAGCAACTTTGTTGAAGATAATGATTCGTAATATAACAACCATTGTTAATGTCCTATCACCTTGTTTTGAAATTCTCTACTGTTTTTATTCTTTCTGTGTTATTTTGTTTTTGTCTTGGTTGTTGTTATTTTGTTTTCTTTTCTTCTAAAAAAAAAAGAGCTGACACATGTAAAGAGCTTTTTGAATAAAACTGACACATCGAAAGTGCCCAATACACGCAAGGAATCAGGTGTTATTCCTACACTGCCCATCTATATCCACAGGCGTTTAGTACACATTGAAAGAATATTGATGCTTTGTGGTGGATTAAAATCTAACTTCTATTTTATATCTTTTTCTATGGATGTATGTGGTACTGGGATTGAACACAGGGTCTTCACATTGAGCTACATCCCCAGTCCTTTTAAAAATTTTTTATTTTGGGACAAGATCTCCCTTAGTGGCTAAGTTTCCTAGGCTGGGCTTGAATTTGTGATCCTCCTACCTCAATTACAATTACAGACATGCACTATCATACCCAACTAGTAAATATTTTAACAGCCATAATGACAATGCATATTTTATTAGCATTTTGATTTTTCATGTTTAGCTTAAAAATTATGAAATTTATGACCCTTTACCAAATATTACAGAATAAAACTTGATAGGAATATTTAAGTAGAAAAAAATGTAACTTCTGCAATCAGAACCGAGAAGAGACTTCATCTCTAGTGTTTAACGATCATACTTGATTTCATTTAGAGTGCACATGGATTTTGGAATTGAGATGCTCTAGAAAGAGTTGCTTTTATTTACAATCTGGTAATAATGTACTAACTTCTTTTTTTAAAAAATTCTGGTACTGCTTTTCAACAAATGACAGAAATTAAATGCTGCAAAAACAGTTTTATGAACACTGAGCCTCCTCTCTATAAATCTTTCCCAGCAGTCTCGCAAGGCTTAATCTCTCCTTCTACAAAAACACATATTAATGGATTTACATCAAATGTTATGATGCTTCAGACACAGGTCTCTTACTTATCGTTAGGTCTTTACAAAGCAGCAGCAAGTAGTCTCAAACTGCCAGTTGGTTCCCAAGTGTCCCAAATTAAATAGGGCATTCCTTAATCTGGCTGAAAGGTAACGTGCTCACAAAAAACCTGCTGTAACAGGCTAGAGCAGCAGTTTCCAAACAATTCTCCAGAGCACCAAAGTTTAATGGGGCCTTAGAGGATGGGGGGCCTCAGGCCCTCTTCCCATATTCTAATCAGAGTGGTTATTTTATTTTATTTTTTGTAATAAGAGTTCCAAAGTAACTGGGGAGCAGTTGTATTTGTCCCAAGTTCTCTTTTGCATACTGGGCTTAGTCATATTTAAAATGGTAAAACCATACCATTGTGCATGGAATAGAACTAACAAGTAGCTTGGGTTGCAGAAAATACTTTCTAATGACATCTCTCTTATACAACATCCAATGTGAAGGGCCCAAATGGGTTACCATACACCTGCTCACAAACAGCAGTGTCACTCCATGGACACGGCAGTTTCCTAGACATCAAAAGATCTCTTTTAAAATCTTAACTCTTCAACTTCCCTAGATACAAGATCTTGGCCACGTTATTCACTCTTTGATTTTAACTTCATGCATCTACCCCACCTACTCACTAGGTATTAGCTGGGATACATGGTGGAAACCAAATAAAACATTTATCACAGCCAAACTGATATGTTGTCTCAACTATGCATGTGTGCTGATATGACCCTGCTTGGAACTTCTTACCTTAAAAAAGTTAATTTTTAATGAAAGAAAAGGGAAGCTTTGCTAACCTCGCTGCTCTGATTGAGCTCAGGCCAAGTCTGGTTTAGTGATGGCATCGATGGAGACTTGCTGGGAGGAGCTTCAGCCGGAGAGCCCGAATAACCTACCTCACCTGGCTGATCCCCAACATCTGCAAATGAAAAACAAAGACATTCTCTATGAACAACATATTTGGATTGCAATACTTATTTCAGTTTTTTTTTGTTTGTTTTTGTTTTTCTCCCGGTACCAGGAATCGAACTCACGACCTTGCGCTTCCCAGGCAGGCGCTTTGCCACTGAGCTAAATCCCCAGCCCCTGGAATACTTACATAAAAAAGCAAACACCGTTTTCATAAGCAGTAATTCATAATCTGAATTCTTTCCTCATATTTCCAAGTATTTGGATAATACCTTGAAAAACTTGTTTTAAAATTTAAATAAGCTTAGAGATACTATTATTTGCTACTGGAGCTTCCAAATGCACATCTGTGTATCAATAAGGGAAGAGGGCCTGAGGCCCACATCCTCTAAGGCCCCATTAAACTTTGGTGCTCTGGAGAACTCAGTTTGGAAACTACTGCTCTAGCCTAGACGTCAAGACTCGTGATGTCCCAGAGTAAATAAACATATGTTTAAGTCAGTTTTTCCCATACACAAATGTGTTTCATCAAATAAAATCCCTCAAACTTCCTTGTATATCTATTCCCTTGAGATCTACTGATTTATACTAGTTTATTCACATTTTCTCTATAAACCTTGCTACCAAAAAGCTATACAGCAAAAGGCGTGCCCAGCCATAAGCAAGAAGCAAACTTATTTAATGAACCCATATGAAATACAAGTTTTTGTCTGTGCTGGAGATAAAACCCAGTGCCTTGCGCATGCTAAGTACAAATTCTACCACTGACTATATATACCATAGCCATGAAACCAACTTTTATCATTATGCTCAGTGGCATTTACAGATGTGAATGAGATAGGCACAAATCCAGGTTACTATTTCAAAATGGATTTTAAAGTATGTGAAGGTATCATATTCTATTTTTAATTATATTTAAGACAAAACAGAAAGAACTTCTATTAAAACTAAATTTTCATTCTAACTTTTCCAAATTTTACCTGGCTTTAAATATAATCCCAACCAATATGGGGTATATAATCTGTTTAGAACGTAAATCAAAAATATGATTCTAGTATCTGTCACTATTTGACCATGGGCAAGTTAAATAAAATAGCACTTGAATTTCTTCATCAAAAAGATACTGCCACTGAATGTTAGATTATACTCCAGATTTCTAAAAAGATAGCTATATAACCTAGCAATGTATAGCTTTTAATCTTTCTATGAGTCATAAATCTTTCAAGATTTAGAGCCTAACAAAGGATCTAATAGGCTGCACTCATGTTTACTAAGTTCTTTTGTGTGTTCTTTTACAAGTTCCCTCTTCTCTACTATCATTTTCTTAGAAGTACAATTAACTTTTTTTTTTTAAGTTGCTGTGTAATTTAGGCTGGCCTTGAACTTGCTATGTAACCTGGGCTGGACTCAAACTCTCGGCAATCCTCCTGGTCTCAGTCTCCTGAGTGCTGGGACTACAGGCCTGGGCCACCACCCTGGCTGAAGTACAATTAACTACTGACTGTTGAAAAAGTTATCAAAAATCTCCCTCTGCCTATTCTGTAAAATGACTCTCTAAAAACGTTTCTCTTTTAGTTATCCTCACTGTATACCTTTATAATTACATCACACTGAAAGCTCTAGTTTAGAGTCCAGCACACTTAAAATTTTTCTCTGTATTTACCTATTTTGTAACTTTACAAATAAGAATAACATTCTTCACAAATTTGTTAAATTGAAGCCATCTATTTGTAACAGCATAGAAACACAACTATTTGAGATTTATAAACTATGTACTTGGTAATAGTTTCATGGCATGTATACACTTGCTATCAAAATGTAGTCCTATATATTCTGTGATTGTACATATTGTATGCAACAAAACAAATATTTCTCTATATTATGCTGAAACACAGTAGTATTTTCGTCTTAGCTAAAGTAAAACTGTAGGCTTCAAGATTTAACTCATGCTGCAATTACACACTTTCATACAATTTCGAGCTGTACTGGTATTTGTTCAGCAGATTAAAATGAATACATATTTAAATACCATTTGTAAGACATTATTTGTATTTTGCCAAAGCAGTCTATGTAACTGTCTTGCTGCCTGGCAAAAAGGAAAAATAAAAACATTGCGAGATCTAGGCAAATTGTGACGGTGGAGAACGGGCCATCTCTCACTGAAAGCAGTGGGAAGGGTGGGGAATGAGAAATACTAATGGCTCTGAATAAAGTGTAAGAATAGTAGTTTGCTTTAGGTGATAGCAGCTGAGTGTGAATAAGAAAAGTGGGCATTAATATCCACTTTTATATAATAAGTTTTATATAGTAAGTCCACTTTTATATATAAGTTTTGCAGCTAGGATCCTTCTTTGCATTTGCAGTACACAAGTTCATAAGCTGAAGGTAATTATTAAGCCAGATAGTAAAGTGCCAAAGAAACATTCAGAGAGTGAGGGTAAATGACTTCTAAAATAACAGGCTGGACATGATACAGGTCAAAGTTACTATCCTCTGAATTTAGCTGAAGAAGGTACTGCTTACAAAACACATTTCCTGGTGAGCCCACATTAGCAACAGTAAGAATCACGTAATGATAAGCACTGTATGTTCAGTAGTTATCGGGGTTTAAAAGTTTTTCTGCTGTAATCTCAAATCCATATCTGCCACAAAGTGAATTCTGGGGTGGCCTCCCAGTATTGAATTCAGTCCTGCAGCTGAAGAAAATGCCTTCTACTTTTCCACGGATAAATGAGGTGTGGTCACCACTGTTACCTTTGACAGAGGCTACATAGCATTATCATGGTGTTCTTGAATACAGTCAAATTATTCTTTGTGCTGGTTGTGATAAAAACAGAAAATGTAAGCATATGTCATGCAATCACTTCAGCCTTCTCCAAAACTATGGACTGATTCTGAGAACCTCTCTAATTCATCATAATACGGAATTATGGTGTGTCTAGACTCTAGAGGGTGAGACAGGGAATGCTATTTATCCTAATAATTATGATTCATAATGATTCCAAAAGTTATATCTCCCCATGGACCATGGATTCTTTCTTGGTAATCTTTTAAGACTTTTTTAGGGGTCTGAAAAGTCAAAATTATTCTAATAATAATATTGATAGTCTTTCCCGTGTTGACACTGCCACTGGCAGTGCAAATGTAATGCTGGGCAAAAGTAGGCAGCTCGGACCAGCGCCAGCCTGGAAAGCGCAAGGTCCTGATTTTGATTCCTGTTACCAAAAAAAAAAGCAGCTAGTTCATCAGCAACAATCAATGCAGTGATAATTGACTATACTAATAGTCACTGTATTCATCCTCACACATACATTGAAATTTTTGCTATAAGATAATAAATATAAATGGGGATTTCATTGAACAGTGTTTATAATGAAGTAAAAACAAGTTTTATTGTATCTCAGCTCTAAAGTCACATCTAACACCATGTGACACACGGTACATGCACATAAAGCACTTCTGCTGCACACTGAAGTACAACGGTTACCTCAAGGAAGAGCCCTCATGTGATTCCGCTATGAGGCAAAGGAGCCACTTCTTCATGGAACACCATTCTTGGAAGTACAGCTGATAACTCACTGTTTAGGGTAGGGTATTAGGCAGGTACTTTCTCAAAACTGAACAGTGCAAGCCTCTCACTTCAAGGAAAATAACTGTTTTCAGTATTGTTACTTATAATGAGGTTTGAACTTTCAAGCAAAAAGGATTACAATTTTGAAAAATGTGTATGTATCTATATATCTGTAACATAACTAAGTTTCCTATAAAGACTTCTGATAAGACAGACTGTAATTAATATTTTATAAAAAGAGTATCTCAATATCTAAAGGATCTATATAGTCCAATTAAGTGGTATTTTCCAAATAACTAGTGTATTAAGGTTCAAAATCATGCATGGATAAAGAGTTCATTCAAAGTACAAGATAGAAAAATGAGTTTTAACGTAACAATAAAAAAGTCACTGATACAGGTTTCAGATTCCACATTGCAATTAAACTTTAAATTACCATCTGTGTTCTGTTTTCATGTAGTATCGAAGAATAGCCACAACATCTGAAAAAGCTATAAAAGTCTTTCTTTTCTTTATATACTTTAAAAATTTACAACTTTTTTTTTTTTTTTAAAACAAAAGACCAGACAGTAAATATTTTAGGCTTTGTTGGCTACCTACCTGGTCTCTACTGCAACTATTCAATTTTATCACTGCAAAAGCATCCACAGACAATTTGTAAATGAGCGTAACTGTATTCTACTAAAGTTTTATTCATGGGCACTGAACTGGAATTTCATATACTTTTCATGTGTAAGTAAATAATACCCTTCTTTTGACTGATTCCCAATGATTAAGAAAAATATACTCTCAATTTGTGGAATATATAAAAACAGGCAACAAACTGGATTTGGCCTGCAGGGCTCAGTTTCCAGAACCCAGATTTACCTGAAACAAAGTAATACATCCAAAAGACTGAATGCAGAAACAAAGATGACAACCTACCTGCTTTCTGTTAAGCCAAATAGTAAAGAGATTTTCAAATAAATGTAAGACAGTGCCATCTTTTTCATAATTATTTTCTTTTGGAGAATGTACTAGTTATTTTCCTTAAAATATTTATGCTAATATGTAAAGGGTTTACTACTGCTATTTTTTAAAAAACTACTGTTTTTAAAATGTAGGGAGTGAAGAGGGAGGAAGAAAAAAATATCAGTTTTTAGGTCTAGAGGTCCCATTCAACCCAGTATTCCTCTTCTGGGTATTTTCCCAGAAGATCTAAAAACATCATATCACAGCGATATATGTGCACCTATGTTCATAGCAGCACAATTTGTAATTGCTAAATTGTGGAAGCAACCCAAATGTCCATCCACCGAGGATTGGATAAGAAAATTGTGGTACTTTTATATAATGGAATATTACTCAGGTATAAAGAAAAATAAACTTGAGGCTTTTATAGGTAAACGGTCACAGCTATAGACCATACTCATAAGTGAAATAAATCAGACCTGCATGTGCAAGCACAGCACTGTCTCACTAGTGTAAAACCTGAAATAGTGAATAAAAACTCGGAGGTATGATAGACATCGTGAAATGACAGGAAAACGCTCAAGGGTAAAGGGCAACTGGGATGTGGGAAAAGAGAAGGGTAAGAAGGAGAAATGTTGTATGTATGTATATGCAGGATAGGTAACAGAGTTGATCTACTCTCTTCTATTTCTTTGCTGAAACTGTTAATAAGTCCTTGATTGATCAATATTGTATGTCTCTATTTGTCTTCATGAGAAACCACTTTGAAGATACCAATATGTAATACAACAAGCATTGTTAATTTCCTACCACTTTTGTTTGTAACTCTGTATTGTTTGTACTGTTCTTTTGCTATTTTGTAAAAGGTTGTCTGTTAATGTTTCCCTCCTTTAATTTTTAAAATAAAATAAAAAAAGAAAAAATATCAGTTTTAATTTCTAATACAGTAACTATTGATAACTCTAACACATAAACAAAGGCTCTGGGGACCCATAATTTTTAAAAATGTAAAGAGATACTACAATTAGTAAGTTAGAAAAATTATTGCCCTAGAAAATCCACAAATTATTGCTGGGATAAATTAACAAAGTTACTCATGCTTCTTTCCAGCTTCACATATACAAGAACAAATGGCAGTGCAAGAATAGCAAATTTCCTGTTCTAGAAACCAACAATCAAGAGCCTGAGAAGCGTGAGATGTGGAAATAAACTGCACCTCCTTCGACTCCGCTTCCTCTAAATACTCCAACAAAGAGCTTCCTGCCTGCCCATACACATCAGGCTTCAAGCTTGTACCCTTTCAGAGGGAGGCACGTACTTTTCCTCTTTCTGATACAGCCAACTTCCTGCTGACACTGTCAACCCTGCCTCCACTAGGATTCTGTTCTGCCTCTGCCATCATCAGAGCATCAGAGCTGAAAAAGGAAGAGCATGGGCCTCATTACTTGTTGAAGTTATCCCCCAAGTGATTGCTATGCAGAAATCTCCCCGTGTAGAAAAGTCTGAAGGTGACAGACTGACTGCACTGGGCTATGAACGTTTACAAACACTGACAGCCCTTCTCATCCTCTGTCCTCCCAACGTTCACGGACTCAGTTCAGTACCACCTGCTGAATACCCTCCTTCACTAAGAACTTCACTTTTGTTCTAGGTTTGTAACTTATCCATCCTAAATTTTTGTTACTCTTTTGGATTAAACTCAATATATTAAGAAATCTGAAAAGTGACTGCCAGCTACTGTTAATCTTACAGAAATATACACATTCCTTGCATAAAGTCTTAGGGTTAAAATGTATTCTGCTTTCAAGCAGCAAATAAATCTAGAAAGTTCTTCAGCAATGAGGGGTCAAAATTCCAGTTTCATTTCATACTTACACCAGGACAAAACTGTATTACTTATTTAGAATTTAATTATTGTTCTTGTAAGAAAAATATATAAAATAAAAATAAATGGGTTTGAATGACTATTATGTCTTCATGAAAAAGAACCAATGGCAACCTTTTCATACATTTTAAAGCGACAAGGAATGCGTACACCAAAAAGAATTGAAGATTGAATTTAAAATAAGCTTTCTTATGCCTTGAGTGGTATTATACACATCAAAAGCTAAGTTCTCTTGCAAAAGAAAG